GGGGGGGGGGGGCAATTTTCCAATTAGTTCTTTTCTAAAGAAATATCTGTATATTTTCATACTGCTGATATTTTCCGTAATATGTTCAAACAATTTCCAAATGTTTTTTCTTCGTATTTTATCTTGCATCATTCCATTCTACATTTTGCTTGGGATTCATGAGCACATTTCTCTAGCTTTCTAAAAATTACAGCGTGTACATTTTACATTGTACATTGTAAATACACTGTAAAAATATAAATTAAAAGGGGCCCACTTGTTTCAAATGTGTTTTTTATCTGAATATACTTTTAAAAAAGTATTTAAAAAAAGTTGTTAAAATCTTCACATGGATTCATGATGAATGTTCTTTGCATATTAAAAATATGGAAATATAAAGTCAAGTTTTTATATTCTTTTTTTTGCCCGAATTTCCTGAAAAATCATATATTTTTCCTATAAATATCTTATTTTTCCTATAGCTAACTTATTTTTCCCAATCCAGCAAATCAAACCCTAACCATTTTATGGCGCAAATGTACCTTTCTTCTAAGGAAAAATAAAATTTTTGCAAGATTTATTTAAGATAAATTTCTATTCCTAGTTGACTGTATGCATGTATGATATATGACACTAGTATGCTATATTAACGGTATTTCAGAATAATATGTTTTCCCAGTATATTTGGATACTTTTTTATCATTATTTTAAAATGGTTGATATTGATTTATTTTGAGCAATAATCATAATTTGTTTCAAAGAATTCAAAGACGAGAAATTAGGTTCAAACGTTTCTGAGTTAATAATCGCAAGCAGCTGTTGTGATTAACATGAAAGGGGGGGGGGGGGGATGTACCACGCCTTCTTTTTCTTCAATCCCACCCTTTCTTGAATTCTCATAATAACTGATTTGCTCAACAGTTTGTTTTGAATTTGTTCTACTGCAGAAACTAAAGTACACTTTTTTTCTTGAATATAACGCACTGCAGTGATAACGTACTGCAGTAATAGCGTACTGCAGTAATAGTCTACTGCAGTACGAAATGTAGTTGCAGTTCAAAATATCAAGGTGTTTCAGTACAGTCAGCTGTTGCAGTACAAATGCTAATTGTAAACAAACTTCAGTTTAATTGAAAGCCTAGAGTGATTCACACAATTATGGACAACGAGGTTAAAAATAAACAATTATAAATCATAACTATACATCTCAAATTTCTCGAGTTTTATCTCTAAAATTAAGTTTTTTTTTGAAAATTGACGATTTATGTTGGGTCAAGTATTTATTTCAATTGTTTTGATTTTTAATGCAAAAACATTTTTCTATTTAAAACTAGTAATTGGGCCTATATATGCAGAGCATATGTATTTAATATTGGATACATAACTAACCATTCACAATGTCTTAAAATAATTCTACCTTTTATAATTTTCTGGTATGTGCAAAAAAAAATCCCCATTTAGAGATATGCTGAATTCAACATTATAAATTGGCTTTAAAATCAATGCGGCTTTATTTTTTCCATTGTGTTTAGAGTCGAAAAAAAGTCGTGATTTTTTAAAGATATAAATAGATCTCAGTTACTTTATTTCTATAAATTCACCCCTTGTAGCTTATATCTATCTATTCTATTCACTCAGCTCAGTTAGAGACTAGAGTTAATCTTTAGACAGTGAAACACACACACACACAAACAAAAAACGGTGAATTTATCAAATAAGAATAACATTTTAATTGTGATTTGATATCCAACGTCTTGACGTAAAAAATAAAATGGTAAGAATCATACTTTTTAGGCGGTGACGTAAAATTTATTTTGAAAAATAGAAAAAGAAGTTTTCATGATAATATGAAAACTCAGCATTTAATTATTTTTAATGGTTTGATATTTTTCAATATATATATATATTTGAGAATAGACATATATATAGGTCATATAATAAAGATTAGTTTGCAGTTATTATGCATATATATTTGCACCGAACACACGCTGCACTGCACGTGTTTTTTATTTCATAAGAAGACGTTTAAAGTATAAAAGAATATATTTTAATGTAAACTCCATCTCTGTTTCATCTTCACCTAACCTAAAAATGCATATCTTAAAACTTCTGAAAATTTGGTTGATCTACGCTAAAATTCCAATTGAGATTGGTGAGTAGAGAATAGGATTTAGTAAAACGAGAAAATAGATTTTTGTGGAATATTTAGAAGAAAAAAAATTTTAATTTCGTATAATTCCCCCCCTNTTTAGCTTTTTATTTTGGTTAAAGTTCATAGTTCAAACTATAAATATATATCTTTGTTTATTGTTCATCATCGATATTACAAAGTATCATTTTTGGAAATTAAAAATAAATACGCAAAGTACAAGATTTAAACATGAAATTGCACACTTTTTCTGTGAATTTAAGTTTTAAAGGAAGAGAAATTATAGAGAACACTTGTAGCACTTTTTGACGCAGTTGTGACGCTTTTCCACTTTATCAACAAACTTTATTTCTCTGTCGGACAAATGGATAGATAGATAAATATTTTAGAATAGATAACTATATGAGAATATATATAGTATAGAGTCTCCTTTCTTCCTGGAAAGGGGTGTAAAACAATCTGTAGATACACAATTTAAATATTATCACAAAACAATTTCTTAACATTTTGCGGAACGAGCGCCGCGCTGCGGCCATAGGTCTGTTTCAATTATAAAATAGTTCTAACTTTTTATAACTTATTTTTTTGTTTAATATATTTTTATCGGACAGGAGCGCCGGTCCCAACTTCACTGAACGAAGGGTTGTCTTTAAATAAAAATAATAATAATAGTAATAAGAATAATAATAATACTGACGTTCTTTTACTAATTAAGAGATTTCCTAATTTTTTCATAAATTCAGCTTTATGATTTTATCCGTCTGAGTATTCATATTTCTAAGGTCAAAAAATACAAAATAAATAATTTTAGCGGAAAACGTTAAACTGGAATATTCCGGATAATAGCTCAATTTTTGCCTGGGTGGGGGGAGAGGCTATATCTGTCGCAGAGAAGGGGGGGGAGAGGGACGTAAAAGAATGCACTTTGTGTACCCATGCTGTGCTTAACTGCATTGGTATTATACTGCTGGATTCTCCCGCCCGCAACCTGTCTAAATCAAGTTATTTATCTAGCTTTAATCGTCAAAAATTTGCTTCCTCAGTTTAGAAATACAAGACATAGTTTTAATTATTGTTTTAAATGATATATTTTATACACAGAAATAAAACTCCCGTATAATATTTATATTAGTACATCCGCTATTTTTATCAGAATAGTCGAATTAAAGGTTATACCGTAAATATTTCAATGTCTACCCATTTTAAGTCAGAATGTCTGATTCACAAGGGTACCCAAAAGCTTTGTCTTTAAAGAATGATATTTTTTAATTTTAATTTTTAAATTATATGATAAGCGTCGATATCTTCACATTTGTATCAGAAAAATGGAGGAACGCCTAAAGTTACGACAGTTTCTTAAAAATTGATTTTTTAATGTTTTTTTAAAAATAATTTTTTATTGTTAAGGTTTGGTTTGGCGGTTGTGTAACAGAGATACCGAATCACAAAACAATGGTGAGATTATATCCGATCTATTCTGGGCTTTGAATCAGGGGCGTATTCAGGGGGGCCTTGGGGTTTAGCCCCCCCTTGTCTAGTGAAATCTATTGATTTTATGGGGTTTTCAGGCCCAAACTGGTGCTGAGCCCCCNCCTGGAAAGATAAAAAATTTAAGCCCCCTCCTGGAATTCTAAAGAAAATGAATATGAATGGAGATTAAAAGAAGATTTCTAAGCAAACATATTTACGCTGGGAAAATAAATGAAACTGTTAAAAACTGGTTTTATAAGATACTTTAGATTGACTTTTGGACTAAGGGGCCAAGTTAAAGTTGACTCGGTTTTTAAATATTTAATATCTCGAAAACTTATAATTTTTCGTGCAAAATTTTGTTCTTGTTTTAACCAGACGTATAGCAATTAAAACCCTACACCTAGTGTTTATTTCATATGTATCAAACATAATTTTTTACACAAATAGATTATCAAGTACAATAGTTGGGAAAAGAGATACGAACCAACAGCCGCGTAATGGAGGTTTAGCGTAGGAGGGGGCCGAAATTTTTTTTTGTGCACCCCCCTAAAAAACCGGTATTAAGAAAATAAAGTTTAAAATCTTTAATAATCTACCTAAAGGCTGACTATTAGTCATCTGACCATAATTACCAATCATTTTAAATGAAACCCCGCGAAATAAATATTGTAAATAAGGTACAAGAAAGAATTTGAGAAATAATCATAAAATGGAAAAATTGTGACATTGTCGATTGATAAGAAAAGTAAAAAATGTTAATATATATTTAAGTGTACTGTTTAATAAATTAGAGCCTGCCTCTGGCTCTAGGGGGGTGCATGTCTATGGGGGGGCACAGGGGTACCGGCACCCTCTCTACAAATGTAACAAGGAAGACGACAGTTTAACTACATTTATATATGCCAAATATCTTTATTATAAAAAAACAAGACATTCGTATATATACATGTTGCCTATAGCCGGCCAAACAGCTGGACCAAATGGCTGAGGGGGGGGGGGGGTATAAATCTATACTCAAATCTCTTAATGTTTTCATTTTATATTTTCTCTATCAAAATCTCTCCAACATTATACCTTGTGTTTATCTATCTATCTATCTTTGTATTTTTCTATCTATCTATTTTTGAATTTTTCTATCTATCTATCTTTGTATTTTTCTATCTATCTATTTTTGATATCCTCTAAATCTTCTCTTGATGCCCTTGGGATGTGCATACAGTGTTTATTCATAGTTGGTACAGACCACACTTATTCTGGGGCAAAGAGCTTTGTAATATTAAGAGCAGGCATTGGAATTTATTTATACGCAAAACCAGACGCCTCAATAGGGTTGAATAAGAAGCCATAGAATGTCGTCCTTTCTAAAATTCAAAAAGAATTTAGGACTTTTTATGCATTTCTACCAACAAAAACTTGCGTTTTTTACGTAATTTGCCGTTAGAAATGCATAACTTTATTATCCTTTTAGATAAACTTTATATTAAAACAGATTGCAATGTAATTGATTAAAAAAAGTTGGCTACTTAAAACCAATGCCCTATCTACTACTATTCTACCGTCTTTGATTCAGGGGTATATATTATCGTTAAAATGTATAAGGAATATTAGCAGGAAGCAACAAAAACTTGAAGAATATTATTAGACTTTTCTTCTGATTATATGGTCTATTCCAAGGACTGTCGAAAACAAAAAAGAAATAAAGCTGTGGTTTTTTTTTTACAAAAACTGGATTGATAAAGTTTTAACTGTAACCGCAAATCTAACCAAAATATCCTCAAAGTATTCAACGCTATATCTTTGTAACATTATGGGTAAACCATTTATAAAGATAAAAAGGATCCCATGAAATTTAAAAACCTAACCTACTAATTAACCTTTTCTTTTTGTTTAGAAGCCCAATGAGAGCATTAGTGAAGATCAGTTTATAATATCTAGTGGTCAAATAAAGTCCCAGGTAGAAATACAGCATAATCTTTAAACCTTTTTTTGTAGGCTTGTAGATGTAGTTTTAGGTAACCCTTTCTTATTAGACTGTACCCTCTAATGATGAAGATGCCCATAGTTTTTTTTAATTATAAAATTTTGTAAGATATGTAAAATCATCTTGAAAAGTGAATCTAAGATTTAAGCAATAGAAACAAAAAAAATTATTGGTCAAATAACGATGTAGAGGGTACCGTTGTAAATCGTGCATTTAACTCTTTTTTTGAGGGGTCACTTGAAATAACTTCGACAGCCCGAAGGCCAAATTTAAAGAGCCACGATTTAAATTTGAGACGCGGTCAAATATGGTTTGCTCCACTTGGAATTGTATTCAATGTTTTAAGATTAAGCCGGCGCTCAATTGAAACCGGTTTTTTTTGGGAATTTAAGACGCTGTTCAAATTCATTGAATCGGACTCGAGTCCCATTAAATTATTTCCATGGCCACCGTAAGTGATTTTCATAGAAAAACATTACATATTGAATGGGTTTCGGGTGTTATATTGACTGGTTTTCTGTTTGTTTACAGCAATAATGGCTTATTATTTTACATATTTTTATACAATACAATAATAACTTTTTTAAAACTAAATATTTTTATTTTCCGTTCAGATATTTGGTTTAACAATATGTTACAGATTATCCATTATAAATCACAATTATTGATATACGGAAATTATGCTTTTATTTATAATTAATTAGCATATGAAATCTAAACATAGTTGAAATTAGGACGGTAAAACCAAGAATTTCAGCGTTTCGAATATAACTGCTCGAAAACAGCGTCGACATTCAGGCTCAATTACTTTAAAACGTATAAATTATCCCACAAAGTTAGTCAATTTGCTGACGGAAAGATTTTTTTTTTAATACAATAATAACGTTATCCTCAAATTTTAAAACAAAACATCATTCAATAAATTATTTTAATTACATATAATCCACCTGTGTACACTTACCTGTAGGAACGACAGATATTAATAAACCCTCTTAAGCGTCACATTTAACTTTTGTTCGTATATTTTTAACTTTTAAATCTGCTGATTTTATAATTTTAATCTCTATTATTAATATTATTGCAAACTATACTAGAATAGCAATTTTTTTTCAAATAATATATTTTTAATACTTATTTTTTATTTAGTTTTACGGAGACATTTTACAATGTTTTCTTTATATATAATATAAATTGTCTAGTTTCTGAAATCAATAATCTGTATACAATCAATCTGCATATTCAATCTTCTCTCAAAAAATGAACTGAACACTTCATCTTTGCAACCTGATGATGTACATCTTTGATATTTAAAACTTTCACCTCCAGATTATGTTGAAAGGTCAAAGGTTTACGACATCTGGTTGCAAAGATATATTGAAAATAAAATGATATTTATGTTAATGCTCAGGTTGATACAAGTTCTGGCAGTGACACTCTTCAGCTTATTCTACAGTCAGACCATAATTTAGATTCGAAGGAACCATTTTTAACAGAAATATTTATCTTTTATTTTTAAAATAGAACCGAGGATGATATTGATTATATAGAAATATATATTTTCTGAAATTTTAAAACCTAGTGTCAAATTCGGAACGAAAAATCGGCTTTTTCTCCGGCCACAGTTGTCTTTGAAAAGTAAGACTATTACCAATCATCAGCAATTAGGCTGTTTAGTTTACCCTGAAAATACCCAAAAAAGTGAACGGTCCCTTTAAACAGTAAAAACAAAGAAAAAATTGGAACATTTTACTCTCTGCTTTTTTTTGATTTGCCATTTGATTGAGAAAGTTTATCATAAAATTATTTATAAAAATTACATAATTCAACCGAATACTGGACACGAAAATCATGTTAAAATGTTAAATCATTTAGTCGATTATGTTCGATTTATCGAAACTACTTCAGGACAACCCTAATCTAGGACTCAGCAACGGACAACAAAGGTAACAGGTTGTTTTGGGTCAAGGGAATTTTTTTAACATTTATTTTTTCCTCAAATCTTTTTTTCTTAATATTTATGCATTGGGGATAAGACCCAAGGACAAAAAGTTTTTTTTTAATTAAATGAATTCAAAGGTTTACCTGGGGAAGTTTTAATAAAAGGGGAGACTTGTGTACAATATTCATATTTTAAGCATTCATAAATGTATCTGTTTTTAAACCGTCACGTGCTTTTTTCCAGTTTTCCAAGTTTAGTAAATATTTGATAAATGTGAAAACATATTTGTCGTATTATCAGTGTTTGGTTCCGAGAAAACACCTTAAAATACACTTTTTTCCCTTTTCTACGCCTAAAGTAATTAAATTTACAAGAAATGGATTTTTATCCTGTTTTTTCATTTTCTCGAAATTTAGGTGTCACTCATTTATTTGTGATTCATTTGAGGAAAAGATGATTTTATTTATATTATAATCAAATTATAAATATATTTTTGTTTCAGAGTGTTAGCTAACTCCCCACCAAGTTATTCTCAGCATCAAGGGAGCTTGGCGCCACATCAGGTTGGAGGCATGGCGCCTCAAACTTCGATCGCGCCTCGTGGTGGAGTAGGACCACAGGGAATGCACAATTCTGGCATGCAGGGCATTCCACAGGGGATTAATATTCCTAAACGTACAATGTTTAACATCGGGCAGTCTGACTTAGGTGAGATTTAAATCATGTTTTTAAAGTTCTTAAAGGGACTGTACGCGCAATTTCATGGAACCGTTCTTGATATCAGTCAAAGGTTTAAAGGGTATGCAGACTTTGTTACTCTTGGATGTTCCGCTTTTAAGGAAAGGTCACTTAAAATTACATGTACAGTCCCTTTTAACTGTTTTTATTCTTATAGTTGGTTTGCACTTCTCGGACGGGTTCTAAACCTGCTTGGAGGAGATTGACAAGTTCTAGTAGTTTTCCGTACTACAGGGTGTCCCATATCATATTCGTCATTGGGTCTAAACCATGTTTTTCGAAATACAAATACAAATTTTAAGAAGAATAAATCATAAAAAAACTCTTAAAGAAAATGTTAGGGTTTTCGAGTATTATGTGTTTATTATGGTGTTAAAACTTGGATAATATGATATTGGGACGCGCTGTACTTTATTTTACGACTTTAAAATGCGTGCATTCTGACTCCAGACAGCAAGGTGTCTTGATAACGATGCGAATATTCAACCTTTTTTAAGAAAAGTTTTATTTTTTGACTTTTTCGTCCATTCTCCGTGTCAGACTAAAAGTTGTTTCCTCGGTTCTGTTTAGTCTAATTTGTATAGTCACAACAAAATGCGCGAACAATTCTGTAAATTGCCATTTACCCCAATACGTACTGTACCATGGGAGGGAGCTCATGCATTTTCCTAAAAAGATAATGGTTGAGTGCGATTATTATTATTATTATAATACCCTTAAATTGTAGAATGTTGAAGTTTTTCTATTATATTTCTTAATATAACTCCTATCTGGATAATCCTGACCTTTTACAGCTAATCTTTACTCTTCAGAGTAGGTTTTCAGATATCCTCATTTGTTTATCATTCAAAAATTCTTATAATACTTCATTTTTTCTACTATCTAAGTTATTTTACAGATATATCTTCATTTTTATAAAAGATTACAAATATTTTTTAGATATCTTCATTTTTATATGAGATTACAAATATTCTTTAGATTATTTTCATTTTTATAAAATTACAAATTTTCTTAAGATATCTTCATTTTATATAAGATTACAAAAAATTTTAGAGATATCTTCATTTTTATATGAGATTACAAATATTCTTTAGATTATTTTCATTTTATACAAAATTACAAATATTCCTAAGATAAATTCATTTTTATATAAGATTACAAATATTCTATAGATATCTGGCCTAGACCTCGATATCTCGATCACACCAGACTTATGTCATAATCGGATATACATTAATTTCCATCCTTTGGTGGTTATTTTTGATGGGGTCTCGGCCTTGATTTCCACGGAATGATGGTTGATCTTTTATTTATTTATTTATTTATATATAGATATCTTCATTTTTATATAAGATAACAAATATTCTTGATATATACATTTTTATATAGAATTACANATAAACTCGTTTTCACTCTTCAATCATTTCTGTATAAGATAACAAATATTCTTTAACTATATACATTTTTATATAGAATTACAAATATTCTTTAGATATCTTCATTTTTATATAAGATAACAAATATTCTTGATATATACATTTTTATATAAGATTACAAATATTCTATAGATATCTTCATTTTTATATAAGATTACAAATATTGAGAAAATTTATAAATGTCGTCTTTTAAACTTCCCTAAATTAGTGTTGCTGCATCATCTGAACTAAGACTCTGCAAACTTTTAATTCTAATATTCTTTAGATATCTTCCTTTTTATATGAGATTACAAATATTCTTAAAATTATTTTCATTTTTATATAAGATTACAAATTTTCTTAAAACTAAGACTCTGCAAACTTTTAATTCTAATATTCTTTAGATATCTTCCTTTTTATATGAGATAACAAATATTCTTAAGATTATTTTCATTTTTATATAAGATTACAAATATTCTTTAGATATCTTCATTTTTATATGAGATTATAAATATTCTTATGATAAATTCATTTTTTTATAAGATTACAAATATTCTTTCGATATCTTTATTTTATAAAATCTTCCAACTATGTATACGATATTTTCATTTAAATATAAAAGGTTTTATATATTCTTCAGATATCTTCATTTTATAAATTATATTCAAATTTTTTTAGATGAAACGTTTTCTGTAAACACCGCTTCATCATCATTTGGGGCTTTTGGACAAGGTATTTTTTATTAATAGAAAAGAAATAGTTGCGTTTGACGACTATGAAAAATGATTAAATATAATGTGCAAATTGTGCATGGAGTTTGGTTCAACATTTTATTTCTAATGACCTTCTACTGAAAATATTGCATGTCCAATTCATGGTATCATTAAAACCATTGTAGAAGCTGAATTGAGTTATCCCTGTTTTGGCTTCTCAAAATTTGGATCTTTTTCAATTCCGGTTCTATTTAATAGTGACTTGCAGATTCATGCAGACCAAAAAAATTAGAAATCGAATCTTTTTAAGACTGAAAAACGACAATATCGACAATATTTTTTATCTGAAAAAGGTTTCATGGATACTATTGTGAATCGGGCTAGGAAAGCTTTAGATTAAGTGTCACATATAACGTTGTTCACAGTCCCTTTAAACCTAGTTGGATATGGGACTTGAGGTGACCGTGCCTATAATTGACCAAAAGATGATGCTTGAGTCATGTTTGGCTTAATAAATATATTGGCCACCGATTTTGTGGTGTTGATCTGCTAAACTGGGATGGCTTGTAAACACATACCATCTATGGATTGGCCGACTAGTTGGTAGGACAAATCACTTCATCTTTTATTGTTTGATTGTTGAAGGTTCATATGAAACTAGTCCGAGGCCTGTATCCTCTCCAGTACTCTGGGATTCAGGACATATTCAGGTATTTTAAAAATTTTAGTTTAATTCTGTAAAAAAATATTCTTTCCACAACCCCCCCTCCTCTTGAAAATCATTTTTTTATTTTTTTTATTAATTTAGGCGAAGAAACATTAATTTTTGGGTCAAATTTAGTTTTAGAGGGTGGTAGTACTTAAGTCTTAGCTGTTGAAGTACTTGGGGAACATAAGTTTGCAAATATAAGCCAATTATTCTTTAACTAGCATGTTTCTCTTTTTTGCATTCTTTTTCCCCAAACATATGTTTCTTTTCCCGAAATTTACAAACAAATTATACATTAACTAGCATGTCTCCCTTTACAAACAAATGGGGAAATATTTATTAAGTTAATTTTTCAACAAAATAAATAACCCTGTTTTCAATGCAAGGTAATTTAACAATTATTCAAATTTATTGAATGAAAAAAAGAAGTTTTCCTAATTATATATTTAAATAAGGATGAGATTAAGAGGTTGCAAGATGTAAATGAATAAGATGGATTTATAAAATATTGTTCTGAAACTTAATTAAAAAAATCGTAAAAACTGAAGAAAAAATATTTTCTTTTCTCTAGATAAAAGAAGAGGATGAAGCTGGAATAATATTAGATGGACATTCAACTCATATCAGGTTATACTTGCTAAATTCTAATCTTTTACTTACTTCCAATCATCCTTGATGAATTTAATGGTCATTTAACAAGTTTGCCCCCCCCCCCATTAGATAAAATCCTGTATATGTCTAATTTTTATATGTATACGATTAAGTTATAGTTTAAACTTATTTTTGAATAAATAAATTCAGTTTCCTTGTTAAATATTTTCTTTGAAAAGTGACGGGCATTGTTCAAAAGCTTCACTTGGTTATAAAACTACAGTACAAAAGTTTTAACATTTTTAATCTATACTTTGTACACGCTTGTTTTATTTTTCCTTAGAAAAGACAATAAAGAAAAAAAACAAGCCGATTTACTCAACAATACTAGAAGATAAAATGTATTTGAAAGGAATTGAATGTGGAACTAACATCTACTTTTTTACTCTACAGAGGTTTGGTCCATCACCATCACTGAATTTTAAATAGGAATTGAGTCTTTGCCGCGAACTCTATTTTAAAATGCTATATCTTTGCAAACCAATGTCGTAGATCTTAGACATTTCGGTATATTCCTAGAGAACGATTTTTGGACCCCCCCAGTCCAAAAATCGTTCACTAGGACAGACCCGACATTTCAAACTAAGAATTCTGTCAGATCAATTAGTTTAAGTTTGGAATTGCAAAAGTTTACATCATCAAGATGTAGGGTTTGTGGCAAAGACTCAATTCCTTTGTGAAAGTATTTTGATCTGGAATCACTTAAAAATAAACTCGTTTTCACTCTTCAAAAGTTCAAGTATATTTTTTTTTAAATCGAATTTGATTTTTCAGACACGGGAGTCAAAGCTTTTATCCAAACTCCGAACTAACACTTGCTCAGCTCAATTCACCACCCAACGAGGCAACCATCAAATCAAAATGGCGTTTCTAAAATTCAAAATGGTGGATATTTTTTTTAACATGGTGGAGAAGGATTTAAATATGGTTTAACCGCGTTTTTAAAATAATTTATAAATTGGCCGGAATAGATTTTTTTCTCTGTAAATTGTATAAAATGAAAAATTTTTATTTTGTAGATTTTATGTTTTCTTTGAAGTATTTCCATAAAAAAAGTATTTAAATCGTAATAGAAAAATATTTTTTTCCGTCGGTCCTTCAAAAACTTTTCTTGGGTCTAATCTGTTCTTTTTTTTATTCATATAATTATTATTCAGATTATTTAAAAGAAAACAAGAAATGTGTAAATTGTTTTAAAATTTTCGATTTTAAAAGTTCTTAAGATGCATACTGTTGTAGTTCTTATTGTGTTAATGTTTTTTTGTTCACATTTTCTGCTTTTCGGATCCACCATCACTTTTTTTTAATGAATTTTGCAAAATCTGATTTTGAGTTGAACTAAGGACATTACAATGACGACCCTGAAGAACTTAGAAGAGTTGGATTCTATCAACCTCGACCTCGACATTTTAACCTCGGACATCCTCTTCCCCTCACACACATTCACAGATATTAAGGTACAGGTGGTCAATCATCAAGAGTTAAGAATCTAAAACAAAGGGTCTAAAAGTTTGAATACATTTTAAACATTTTATGATAGATAATAATAAAAATAACTAAGTACCTGGCGTTGCCATTGCATTTTTAAAAAAGATGTTAGAAAAATTTGGAATTTTCCTAAGTAACAATTAGAAGCTTGAATTGTTAACAAGAAAGGAGCGTGAAGGCCTAGTGACTATTACAAGAGCTGATTATTAGAATTATTAAATTATTGATTAAATGTGCTAATATTTTAGATTGAGTCGGATTCGATTGGGAACTCGATGTTCCAGTGGGGTCGAGAGTCTCAGTTATCTTCCTCTGTACCCGTATCAGTTATCTCAAGCCTCCCAGATTACCAGGTAACCTCAGATAATAAAAGGGGGGCAGGGGGGCATGGAAACCCAGAGAAAAATGGTAGGTTCGTTTTAAAGTGATCTTATGGCAATTTCACAAAGGTTTACTTTAAAAGTGGGGCTCTCCCAGGTGTCCTTGTGGTTATTCCAGCCGCAATTCAGTTTAAATAAGAATGTTCGATGTTTAGTTTAAATGGAAATTTGGGAAATACCTTTTTGAAATTCTCACCTGATCAAGATTTTTCGGGGATTCGATATTATCATTACAAAAAATACCCTTTTATCCTCTAAAATAAATTCAATCTTTCATAAAATTTACTTTTGCATGCAATATTTCTGTCGAAATAGTTGGAAAGTAAGCTGAAGCAATATAAAATAATTTTTAAATATTTTTTTTATTAATTTGCTAAAGCTATAAAAATTAAATTTTAGAAATAATGCAAACTGTTGAATGTTTATTCAATATAATGTATACAATATAGTCCGTCTCCTTTAATTTTTATTTAAGCTTATCAAAGTTTCTTTTGTGTTCTTAAAACACTCCTTTTTACTATGAAAATCTGTTATCAATATTGCTATAAAATGTGCTTGGAATCTAATTTTTTTAAAGCTTTATCAAGAAAGATTTGATCTCTCTTTTATGTACTTTGATGAAAAACAATGAGATTGGAACAATATTCAATTTGTTCTTTTTTCTTTTACTCGTCTGTGAAAGGATTTAGAGCTGAGTACACTGCGACAAAATGGAAAATATTTTTAATTTGTTCTCAACCTGGCACTTTTTCTATTCAGGGTGGTTATCACTACGTACATTCTCACAATGGATACAGACCGAAGGTTATTTATTGTACTGTAAAATGTACTGTATCAACTGGGGTTGATTGTGCACAAATTAACGTTTTTTAAGGTTTTGCATGATAACTATTTATTATTTTACATTTTATCCTTCATGGGAAACATCAATATTTATTGCATCGCATGTTCGAAAAAATATTTAACGAGTTCGATTTTTTTTGTGGCAAGAAAGTAAAAAAAGGAAAGGTTTACTGAAATGCATTGATACCAAGGCAGATACTAGAATTGACTATAATATGCAAATTGTTTATGTTCAGAGTGGGTTTTTTATTTAATCTATTTTTCTCTTAGATAGCATAATTTTATATATAAACTAACATGGAAGGTAGGTAGGTGGGTAGGTAGGTGGGTAGGTAGGTGGGTAGGTAGGTGGGTAGGTAGGTTGGTTTGTAGGTAGGTAGGTTGGTTGGTAGGTAGGTAAACTCATCTTCAAAAAGGAATCAAATTCTAAACTTCTATATTCAGGGTGGCCAAAATGTACGGATTGAACGGATTGTACGGATTGACTTTTTTTTTACCCTAAAATTGTACGGATTGTACGGATGGCACGGATTGTACGGATTTGTTTTCAAATTGTACGGATTGTACGGATTTTTATCCTGGAAAATACACTGTTTTTTTTTAATTTTCACTCATTTCAGCAAATTTTTCATGAAAATTTAAAAAAAAATTCTCGTCAAAATGAAGTTAGTTTAACTTATTTTCTGCAGTTTTCGAAAATTGTACGGATTGTACGGATGGCTTCCGAAAATGTACGGATTTTTGTACGGATTGGTTCAAAAAAGTTTTGGCCACCCTGTATATTTTAACTTTTTTATTTTTAGGAATTGTCAAATTTATCTAATGGAGGACCTGCTATAAGTCCCTCGAGGTTAACCCTTAGTCCCTCAAACCTTGCTATGAGTCCATCCAGAACCGGCCTCAGTCCACCTGGGCGAAGTAATCTTAGTCCACTTTCACAACCGCTTAGTCCACTAATACCGGTTAGGTTTTGCAAATATTAAATATTAATATGATTTTAGTCTATTTTTTCAGCGACATAGTCCAGTCTACAATTACTGGTTACTGTTGATTTTGTATACATGTCTTCAAATTCCGTACAGATTTTAGTCCATTTTCACAGCTCACTTTCGGTCGTCAAACACTGGGCAGATCTTAGTCCACTTTCTTAACTACAAAGTCCTTAAAACTTGTTGGATTTTAGTCCACTTACGTTTTACACTTACAAAGTACTTAACTGCTTAACGAAATAGTCCTCAAATATCGCACAGATTTTAGTCCTCTTAGTATATGAAAAAAGATCATCATTATGTTTTTATTTGCTGGAGCACAACAGAGAATACAATCAAAGCTTTCCTTTCTATATAACATTATTATATAAAGCATATACTGGTTTTGAAACAAAAATAAATAAGTCACTTCAAGTTTCTTTGGAAACGAACCCATGTTTAAATATAAAACACAATTTGTATTTAGGATAGTTTGGTTGCCGGGTCTAGAAATTCTACATTACATGAATTATTAATGAGACAGGTACTGAAAATAATTGTGATATAAATTTTCAAAAATTGCATCCCGGGGAGGGGGGCGGGGTATTTTTTGCCTTAGGATAAAAGTAAAATTGGACATAAAACTTTTTTTTTAAATTAAACCCAAGACATGTTAAGCGCTCCGTGCAAACATATCTGACATATGTTGAGGGGGGGGGGGGTAATAATTTTCAAGAAAATTATATAAAGGAAAGTGTTAGACTTCTTCTGTGATTCAGTTTAGGGTTTTATATTTTCTTGAAAAATACTTCATGATGATGTTTACGCAAAGCGTTATCAGATATTGGAAGGTTTTATCATAGAACTTGGGAAATGAAATGATATTTTGGTTCAGAAAAGAACTATTTTTATCAAAAATTAGCTTTATAGAATGTAATTATTGAAAAATGTTTTTAAGATTTACTTGTAATTTTGTTGTTGTTAAGGATCAATCAGTCCCTGATCCTATCCGGCCTAGATCAAACAGTAACCAGTTCAAATCCGCCAAACGACCCATAGGAACCAGACAACGGAACTCTCTCTCCATATCCAATCCACTTCTCGCCTCTCAGCTCTCAAAGAGCGCGCCGGTCAAAACTTTACCTATAGAGAAGATGATTTGGTCACGACGAGATCCAAGGTATTTACTATTTTTCTTAGTATTATTGGATGCAATTTTTATGACGATTCAGTGAAAATAGAAACAGTATGAAAGGTTTTTAACAACAAATTTTTTAAAGATTAAATACTGTTGAATTTTAAATTTTGGCAACACTTTTTTTTAATAATAATAATAATAATGAGGTCGGAAATTTTGAGTGACTACATTTTTTACCTTCAAGGAGTATGATATCTACAGTAAAAACTTAAAGATGAAACGTAATTTTAAGTTTTCGAATAGGGAAAGACATCGGACTAGTAATTTTACTTATTCCTCCTCATTGGTCTATTCCATAAAGCCACAAAGATACGGATTAGTGCTGTTCAATTGAATTAAACCATTGGAAAGGTTGTACCTACTTTAAGTAAAAGACCTTGCATACGATTTTAAGTCTTAAATGAAAAGCCGTTTTAAATAAATTTTTATAACTCTAGACCCCCCTCCCATCCTTTCATGTGTATATGATTATGCAAACAATATACCAGGTTAGGTTACATTAGGTAGATAGGTAATCAAAGTCTAGCCCGGGCATCAACATCAATGACCCATGATTGCACATCAGGTCAATCCAAACATGACTTTTATCATTTAGCTGCAAAGGTGCTAATGGCGTGATGTTTAATACCATCCGTGGTTGCTATAATAAATAAAAGAGGTTACGGGTTAAGATTTGACCTAAATCTTTATTAAATTATTTGTAGACCTCACATGAACTCTGTGTGTTCGAATGCTGGTGACTCAAGTATAGCTGATGAAGTATCGGAAATTATGAACAGTTTAAGGTAAGGAAATGTTCAACTGTTTAAAATTTGACGCATTTATTTTTTTATTGTCGACGCATTCAACTTATATTTTTTAAATTGTCTTGCCTGAATTGTCTTTATGTGACGGGACCTACTAAACGATATGTTTCATCAGGAAAATTTGATACAGGGTATCCCACGATCCATGACAGTAGCAAGACGGTTTGAAAGTCGTCTTTGAACTTAGAGTTTATTTGTGACGTTTAGTCTTTAACGTTCTTTCAAGTGTCTGATTCTTAAAACAATAACCACACTATTCTCCTAGTCCTGGTGTTTCCAAAGTGTGGACTGCCTTGTTTGTGCTGTAAATTTTACAGGAGATATTAAAAATTTCGTTCTCATTTCAATTTTATCAAAATGAAACCAAATCTGAACGAAATTCTTCACATCTCCGGTAATACTAAAAAAAATGCAAGGACTTAAGATATTTTGGTTTTATTAACTCAGAATTTTACTTTTAAAATTAGGTAATGCAAATATGATTTTAAATTCTTCTTGCTTTTGTCATGTTTCGTCGGACACCCTGTATGTTACAAATCTCCTGGTTTTTCCCAGTGTTATTGTTTATATTATTAATATTTTTATCATTTTTATTTTCGTTATCAATATTATTTCAAGTCCCGGCGAACTGAACGATATTGACAGTGAGGATGAGTTTAATGAGACCGAGGAATTAGAATCAGATGAAGGTATTTTTAACATAAGCATGGATACAAAAAAAACATGGGAACAAAGAGAAGCTATTAATTAAAAAAGCTTATCTTCAATTACTTGTAAACTTGTAATTCTAAAAAAGCTTGTTAACAATGAAAACTGAAATAGAATAGTCGTCTTTATTAATATTGCAAATACACAAACAGTTTTTTTTTTAAATAAGAGACAAAGCAGGCCTTTTTCCATTGATACATTCTGACCCCTATTTATTGAATGATGGGTTATCTGCTAATAATAATAATAACATTAAATAAAAAGATAAAATGATAAATGAAAGGATGAATGTATCAATGAAAGGACGATAGGATGGAAAAATGAATGAAAAAAAAAATTAAACCAAATTTCAAAATAAATATAAATATTTAATATCTACGAATATAAAATCAGAATGAAGGCAAATTCTGAAGAAATGAAGAGAAAATAGTCACAAAAATTTATGAATTGTTTGGAATGAATGTTTGAATAATCTAGATTTGCGCATAGATGAGGATGGGGAAGGGGGGAGCTCTAAGAAGGATCGTCATTTCTGGCAGTACAATGTGCAGGTATGTCCTTGGTAAAACCTTCCAATTAGTACAAAACTTGCGTAGATGTACACAAAAATATGTTTTTTTTTCTATCATGGGTCTATACTGAACATTTTTTTAGAATTAACCCCCCCCCCCCCTCCCTTTGAGTGTAATGAATTTTGATGAAGGGGGGGGGATGAAAAATTGGACATCCTGAATTTTTTTAGTTCTTTTTGATTCACCCAGCAAAAAGTTCACCTAAAAATCATTTTTTTCTAAAAAAAATCGTCTCTGCGCAATCATTCTTAACGTCTGGGGAAAAAAAAACAACGATTTTCAGAAGGGAAGTGTGGTGGAAAATGATTTTTCAGAATGGATATACCTCTGCTTCTGTTAAAATCCCCTAAATAAATGAAAGAGTAACCAAATAGAAAAACTCTTGTTTTCTTGTGATTAATTATATAAAATGAAAATTTTATATTAAACAGTTTTTTGAAGACTAATTGAATATTTAAGTGCTATAAATCGGTGGGATTGATAACCAAGAAAACACTCACTGTTTTTTGTACATTAGTTTTTTAATTAGAGGAGAAGGTCAAACAAGAAGAAACCTTCCCATTAGAATATGATCTGGATCCTGGAACCGTCCACTTTCAATAAAATGGATCCTGGATCCTTCATTTCCAAAGAATGGATACAGGATCCGTCCTATCAGTAGAATGGATCCTGGATGTGTCCTATCAAGAGAATGGATCCTGGATCCGTCCTATCAACAAATGGATCCTGGATTCTTCCTTTTAACAAAATGGATCAATCTCGCACATACTTTATTTCTTTTTTTTAATATTAAATTTCAAATATGATAGAAGACCAACAAATAATAAGAGGAATTTACCGAAATCCCAAACATTTTAGAAAACAAAAACCAGAAGAAAACAATCTTTTTAATTTATCATTTAGTTGATAAGAAGAGATTTTTTCTTCTGTTTTTTGTCTTCTGAAATGTTTTTTTTCAGGCCAAAGGTCCTAAAGGGCAGAAGCTTGCCCTCGACACCAAAATAACTGATCCTCATCAACTAAACGAGATTATAGATCCTGTATTCAGTGATAGTGTTCAAGTTCACGGTATCAAACACAGGTCAGTTAATAATGTCAGAAAGCGCGGGGTTGTTATTTTCAAGAAATAAAAAAAAAATTAAACATTAAACATTAAACAAGTTTTTTTTTGCATTCTGCTAACCCAAAAATTGATTCCCCAAATTCAGCCATTAATTTTTTTTACCATGCAACCCTGTCTGAGAGAATTTCGTCCTATCCCCACCGCCACCACCATTTAATATCTGATTTATTTGTAAGCAATTATAATAAAATACTACTGCATTGGAAGTTAAGGTGATTTTCCTTTCGTTTTTATGCCCACAATCTATTTTAAGAGAACTAGTTTTAATGAATTCCGTGAAGAAGTTGATCTACCCATACACTTTTCCCATTCTTTAATCTCCAGTTTTCATCCAAGACAAGTGGTCTATGTAGTACCTAATGCTACTCACCAAATTTGGTCGCAGAGAAACCAAAAGAAATTTTTTTCTTTACGATTATAGATTTTTTATGGGTTTCGGCTGAGGAAGATGTTAATTTTGTTAATTTTCTTTGGAGAAGTAACTTGGTGGTAACTTGACTAGATAAAGTTTGTTTTAATGGGTCATAAATAGTTGTGATTTTGTAGTGGAAAGGCTAGAAGAGGAGATGGTAATGATCTGACCGCTAACCCTAAGAAGCTTGCTGCTATTGGAAAAGAACTTGATAAACTCAACAAGGTAATTCATTCCAACCTTGTATTTATCTTTAACTATTCTTATTATGTTCTTTTTACATATTTTCTCCTACTTTTTGTCTACTTTAATAATTAAACTTTACCTATTCCGGAAATATTAAATTTTGTTTGAAATAATTTCAGTTTAAATGTTCTACGTTTAACTGTTTCTTATTCTCTAGTATCCTAATTATTACTCTTTATGTCAATTAACAAATTTGGGGCGATTCGTTAAACTTTTTATTTGTGTAGTCAAAGCTTTCATTGTTCTACTATCGACTATTTTATAACGAATTTCAAATGCTTGAAGTCCGTACGAGGGTCGTCTAATGCTGATTTAGCAAATTGTATAGCATAAATGAAAGAACAGGGGGGTTCTTACATTTAAGATTTGGCTTGAAAACAGTAATTCGTTCTTGAAGTTCTTAACTTTCGGGTAGAAAAGTTCTTAAATTTTTAAATGTTTTTTAAAAAACTTTTTACCTTAAAAATTTATTTTCGACATTTCATCAAAAGTCCTGCAAAACCTTTAAAAATTTGATGAAGAAAAAATTCTTGTTTTGTAACTCATCAGATATCTTACATTGCATTCGAAGTTCTTTTTTCAATCCTAATACCTCCTTCTTTATTTATGTTTCTTTTTATAATCTAGTATATCAGGTTCAGAAGATAGATAAGAATTCAATTTATAAATGATAAAAGTGGGGTTTTTGAGACATTTTTTTTAAGAGGACCCCAGACTGACAGAGGGATGTGTAATTATTAATGTATGTCAGAAAAAGTGAAACTTACTTTTGAAGATTGATTTTCAGTTGTTAATTTAGAAAACACATAATTGAATTTCATTTTTAAGTCGCCTCATTTTTTAAAAAGATAAAATATTTTGTTACATTCTAACGAGATTTTTAAACTATCTGTACTGTACATGTTACATGTTTACTGTTTAGATCAGGACAGTGTGAAGTACAATATTATGTTGAAAATTTTTTGTATTTTTTAAGTAGTTGCTTTAATGATATTATTTTACATATTTACGATTCACATTTTCTCTATACTTTCAAAGTAAAGTAACTATTAAAATTTGTATGCGCGTTGCATTATGGTTCAGGTTTCGTTAAATCACACCAATGAAAGAGAATTATTGAGGTGTCAAAGTTAGATCACTACTGAAAGTAGTTGCGATTTTCCTTAGATTAAAAGAAGAAAAGTATCAAAGTATTCGATAATTGGCTACAAAAAACACAAAAAGCTTATCTTAAGAAACAAAAAACTTAATAAAGTGATGTTTGACATCGAAAAAAGAGGATTTAATTTTTTTTTCATTCTCATAATTTTCCAATTTTTGTGGGATTTTAAAGATTTAAAAGAAATGTTCTTAAAAATCTTAATTTTAAAAACGTTCTAAATTTGTCAATTTTTTAGAAAAACCTTAAATTTAAGAACAATGTTCTTTATTTTTTGGAGGGCAGGGGGCAACTATGTATAGTCATAGTCAATTCAGTTTTCGGCATGGTTGGTAGGATATCTCTAAACATCTGTTTTTATTTGATTTGATTTAAAATGTTTGATTGTTAGGTGTCATCAAGTCTAACGTAATTTTGGTAAAATTCAATTTTACATTACCCCTGAGAATTCAAAAATCAAATTTTGAATTTGTCATGGTATGTCAAGGCCCTGTTATAACATTGTTTTTTGTTTAGGAAATCAACTTGATGACTCCTGTTAGTGAAGTTCCATTTTCAACAAGGTAAGAAAATGCTGCTCAAAAACCCCCCTTACTATGGCAACAAGACAAATCCCTGTAAGACGAGTAAAATAATTTTTAGAAATCTGATTTTGAAAATAGAGGGAGGGGGGGGCAGCAGATAGGATAGGATAGGGAAGCTGAGTTATTCAGTTGTTAGAAACTGTGTTTTTGTCTCTTCAATCCTTTTTTCTCTCCAAAGTTATTTTCTGTGGAAGATGTACTCTCATCCCTGCATACACTTAAATACTTTACTCTATTTTATTTATTTCCTAAAGTTTGTTCTCGATATAACCTTGAAAACATCTCTGGCACGTGGATACTACTTTACATACTTCTCTCCGAATATTTTAATTATATTTGATCATATCATTATCTCTCTGTATGTTTGATTTTTCTAATTAATGTGACACACAAAATTATAATTAATGAGTTTCTTTTTCTGAACTTACCAAAATCACAAGACATAGGATATCCATAACTTATAATATTCGTTAAAAAAAAAGTTAAAAATTAGGTGTCTTTAACATTTATTTAATTTATGGTTGGATGCATTTTTTAGTTGATTCCGTTAGTTTCTGTTTTGGATTTTCATAAAGTATATTCAGGCAGGTTTCCCAGCTGATACAGTTGACCAAATTGTTTGGTTTTCTTTCCAGTCGACCAATCTCCATCTAAGCTGATTCTGTTGGTCGAGTCTCCAGTTTTCCTCCGAGTATTGTTGTTTTGAACTGCTCTGGTATTGGATGCTCTACAAACTCTTCTCCTTTAAACAAATATTTGTGAGAACATGTTCCAGTTCTAAATTTGTACTTGAAGGGATTTTAGAAATTGTTCCTCGTGACCTGCTTGGCGACATGTCTGATTCACTCTTTAAACCCTTATCTGAGCAACAATGGGTAATATATCCTTGCTTTTTTATCCTTTAAAGTGTAAAATTCTGTAAATTATTTTCTGGACCTCATTTTTAAAAAACCACTAACAGAATTTATCAATTTTTAGATAGAAAAGCAAGGATATTTTCATCATATTTGTTATGATATAGGATTGAAGGCTTTTTCTGTGAATCAGGCATGCCCCTCTTACCGAAGGTCACTTGAAATTGGGATAACAGTTCCTTACCGTTGGGAACCATTAGGTTCATTTCGGATGATTTTGCTGTGACCAGTTGGACATCAAGGGTCTCCATGCTTAAGAACATTTGACAACCATCAGTCTTACGTTCCAAATTTTGTCTTTATGAAATTTTTTTTCCTACTCAAATTATATTTTTTGATTTTAAAAGAAAAGTTCATTAGATATAGATAAAATTTGGGTTCCTTGTCCACAGAAATTGTTGGAACCTTCCCAGTAACCTTTAATTTCAACATTTTAAAATTTCATATTTATGGTTTATTAGATGCATTGCGAATTGAATGATAAATAAATTTTGCTTTTATCTTTTAATTGAATAATTCTTGTGCTCTTACTAACTTATCGAATTTTCATAGGTTATTAGAAGTAAAAGATATAAAGTCGTTTAACTATTTACCTGCATTTGCACAGATTGGCAGTTTATAAATTCACAACTTGAAACAACAGATTCAAAAACAAGAGCGCACTTCTTGCAACTGTCCATAATAATGTTGTTGCACTTTCCCTGAAACATAAATTAAATTTGTTCTCTTCCTGCAGTTTGTTTCCCCTGGGAATTAAGTAAAGTAACTCACCGACACTTGAAATGTTGAACCATTGCATCTGTAGATATAAACAGATTGGTTGGTTTCACTGGTTTCAACAGTAACACATGAATTCCCATCAAAATTCTCTATATTCCATTTTTTCCCGTCCAATTCATGAATAGGAGACCTGCCAGATATGGTTTGAGATTCAACCTTTGGTTTCTGATATGATGGAACTGTGCTGTTTGCTCTAAGCTCAGGGTTCTTGTGGGTTTTCTCGTTGTCAGACACCTTCTTCAACCCTTTGGTAATATCTTCACCTTTGTTCAAGCTGTCTAATAGAGTGGAGCGGGGTGTGGGTTGTGCTTCTATAGATACAGGAGGAGGAGGTGGAGGAGGAGCTGGAGGGCCTGGAGGTGGAGCGGGAGTAACTATTGAGGGTTGACATAAGTCAGATTTAGCTATAGTGATTGCATCTCCACCTTTCAGGTTCCAGTTTAGTCCTGTTGTATGATGTTCTCTGACATAGGCTTGTAGCTCAGCCAAAGTCTCAATCCAAGCTTTCACCCACTCCACATGAATCTAATATATTGAAAATAATTAAAATTAATTCTAATTAGATTTTATTGACACCAATCTCCATAAGATCTTTCTAAATTAAGATTGGAGTAAAAAGCCTTATTGTTTGTAATGCTTTTCTTCTTCTTTTTTAATCAATTTGAAGTTTTTAAGAAATTAATTTTTAATAATTCTTTCACCTTGGATTTTTCTTTCCAATCTTTCAGAACTCTATTTGTATAGAATTGTCCTGCATTGTTCATTTCTAGGAAAACAACCAATTTTTATTCATTCAAGGTTACTCACAAGTTTCTTGTTGTTCTTTATCATAATTAAAATTTCTGAACAAATAAAAATATGGTTCCTAAAACAAAGGATCCAGGAGCGGGGGAAACTGCTACCCAACCTAAAGCTGCGATACTCTCTGAAACTGCAGAGAGATGATTAAAGAAGTCAGATCTTCGGTTCTTCTCTCTACAATGCAATTATCTCTTTAATTAATGTGTTAATAAAACAATTAATGTTATGACAAAACAATTTTGAACTAGCACAACATTCAGCTTCAATGTCAGTTTTGAGGGTTAATTAATTTGAATATGGGGAGGATTTTGTCATTAAAAGATTTTTTCCTAAATGTTTGAATTTCTTCAATACTCTCAGCTGTGTCTTTGAGTAGTATTGGTAGTTCAGAGTCTCGAGGCTTTGTAGATTTACTGGCAATTAGTAAAAACCTTCTCTGGGCCCTGAAATTAGTATTTATGGTCAATGGTCATACTAAATTTATTTTTAAGGTGACTCTCCTTTCATAGATTGGTATGTCTGATTCACAACAGTACCCAGGCTTTATTTGACCAAGTAAATTTAGATCTTCATGCTCTTTTTGAATCGTTGTGAATCAGGTATAGCCCTCTTTAAATCACAACGAAAGTTTTCTTACTTGAAAGCTTTGGTAAGCATGTCTGACATTGGTTTAACATCTCCAGCAATAGTGCAGCATTTCTCAATAAAAACTTTGAAGGCTCCATCCACTATCTCATCAAATGCTTTCACTGAGACGGACAAAGCTCCAGGCTAAAATAAAGCAAAATGATGTCTTAAATATTTCTTAACACTATGTTTGTTTGGTACTGCATCAGTGCATACGCTTTGAGGGACGGGGGGGGGGGGGGTCTAAATGACCTGTCATTAGTTATCAATAAACATTTTTTACAAAGCTCAAGGGCTCATTTCAGCTAAGCAAAAAAATCACAAAAAATAACAAAGGGGGATGCCCCTTCCCCAGAAGGAATAGGGTTAAATATAAAACTAATTTACTCACAGTGTCAGGTGAGGTGAAGGTTTGTGCCCTGGTTGAGGTTTCAAGACGAATTGCAACTTTTTCAAGTCTACTGATTAAACCAGGGAGGTCTTCAACACCGGGCATACTTTCTGAATTATCAAAAAATTCCCAAAAGACGTAGTTTTTTAGTAACGTCTGTTAATAAAAACTACACTAAAATCTAGGAATTATGGTTTTTGTCTGGAGGAAGAAAAAAAACATATTTCTTCCTCTTCAGTTTTTAAAATTTTCGAGTGTTGTGCATTTTTATGTAAACCATTTTAGTTTTTTCTTTCCTACTAAATATACCAGGCCGGCCTAGCTTGATAATAAGGACTTATTATATTTTCTGTACTTGACCACTAAGATGTCTGGATCTTAAGTTAAAGGGATTGTAATGATAATTTCATGTGCAAAGAAAGACATGTCCGATTTGCAATGTTACCCTTGAAAATCTGTAACTGAAAGATGTCGCAAATTTCTAGTTTTTTAGTTCTGACAGTTTTCTTAATTGTTTCTGCAACAGTCACTTTGTAGTTTAACCAAGGAAATGGAAACATCATATAATTCAATCATTCAATCAGACAACACTTTTAAGGGAACCATTGTGAATCGGACTGTCCTGAGTTACTGTACAATACTTCTACAGTCCCTTTAAGAATATTCCTAACAGTTCTGCTCTGCTCTAGAATAGAACTGATCTAATAATACTGGGAACTCAGCTTTCTAGTAGAAGGAGGAGGGGGGGGGGGTTTAGGAGAAGGAGAGAGAGGGGAGGTAGACAGGTCGGCCGGCTAGCTACGACCTGTGATAGCACTATAAACAGCTGACCTCTTTTGACACTTATCCAGACGAATCTAAATAAAAGGACTAGACTGAAGATTTTAAGATAAATAATTATCTTCCCAAAAAAAAATAATTTAATCTGAATATTAACGAAGGAAAATGAAACTTTTATAATAATTCACATTAAGCATGTGCTAAATCTGCGTCTGAAATAAATGTAATATTCCTCTTTATTCCCCCCTCTCCTACTTTCTTCTTAGCTAAACAAATCTGTTGATATCCTCCCTCCCTGCCCAATTCAACAATTTCTGAAAAATTGGGTACATAAAGTTTTGGATTAGATTTATAAATAGAAATGTATTTTTGTTAAGGTCTGCATTATTGGAAATGTATTTTTGTTAAGGTCTGCATTATTGGAAATTGCGTGCAGGGGGTGGAGGGGGAATCAAATATTTATTAACAATTATTTTTAGTATTTTTTTTCTGTGACTCATTTCTTTTCATTAAAGATTTTTAAAATTAAAAGCTGAAAGCAAAAATCTTTAAGTTCGTTAAACAAAAAAACTTTTTCTCTTTAGGTTGGATTGCCTACATACATACATATTTAATGGTTAAGATGTGTGATTGATTAATCAAAAAGTTAATTGATTTGTTGATTGATTGGTTGGTTGATTGATTGATTGATTGATTGATTGATTGATTGATTGTTTGATTGATTGATTGATTGATTGAAGGACGAAGACCCGGAAGGAGAAGAACAAGCTGGCGAGTAGAGCGTGTAGACTGAAGAAGAAAGCGCAGCACGAGGCCAACAAGCTCAAGCTTCATGGACTAGAAGAAGAACATAGTAAGCAACACTTCTCTAGAATATTACAAATGTTTGATTTATCACTAGAGGATCAAGATCAAAAGGTCAAAACTTTTGTATGGAGTATCGTTGATCTTATAAGCCAGTGTGGGCACTTTGGAAATCAAAAATAAATGCTTGATCCCTTAATGACTACCACAGGATGTCGAACAGGAATTATTTTATTAAATCAATCCTTAGGTCTGCATAAAATGAAAATCAAAAAGTAAGAAGTACCCCTTATAAATGCCCATGAATACCCTAAAAGGTCAAATAATAAATGTTAAGATGAATTGATGAGAAGTATTCACGGTGTGAAGGAGATACTCCAGGCTAAGTGGGCGGGAGCCCAGGGCGGAGCCGGACACCAACAGTTATCCGAGGAGGCGGAGAAAATTTTGAAAAAAGCTGGCAGTAAGTTTTTTTTTATAATTCCACCTTTTGATAAGTTTTTTTTTATAACTTAGGACCACCTTTTGATAAGTTTTTTTTTTATAATTTAGGACCACCTTTTGATAAGTTTTTTTATAATTTAGGACCACCTTTTGATAAGTTTTTTTTATAATTTAGGACCACCTTTTGAGAAGTTTTTTTTCATCATTATAATAATGAAAATAATAGTGTAACCGAAAACGTTGGGAAAAACATTTTGTTTAAAATTCGGTGATGGTGATGGACCAAACCTCTGTGGAGTAAAAAAGTAGATGTTAGTTCCACATTTTGAATATCTTACCAAAAGACTACTTTTATCTCGCTTTAAAGTGGGTGTCTATTTCTTAAGAGCATGTTCTCATGTTCAAGATTGAGTCTTCTAAAAAATGTTTATGTCGTGAATCATTGAATATAGTTAGTTTGGTAGTTTCCCAAGTGACAATTTCCTATTGACACGTTTCTAAATGTACATTCCCCCCAGCGGAAACTTCCCAAAGGTTAGGTCAAGCCTTCTGAGGCGCCGCAGGGTACAAAGGAACCGAGCGCAGAGGCTAGGATGGGCTAGGTAGCCGAGCACTGTGACTAGAAAAGGCTAAAGGGCAGAGCGATGCGGCTTCGAGAGACTGGGGGAAGTTGCCGCTTGGGAAGTTGCGGGTTCAAATATGAAATGAAACGCCCTGTTAACAAAAAATAAACTCGAGGTATCATAATCGTAAATTTTATTTTCAGAAAACCGAGTAGCTGGACAGACAACTGAATATGTGAACAGAATGATAACTAAATATAGTTAACTCATCAATAAAGGCTTAATATAGTCAAGCTAGTTATCTCCATAGTATACACGCTATACAATACACATTCTAGCTAGTCAAGCTAGTTAGTTTTATATTGTACAGGTTGTACACAATGCATTCTAGCTAATCAAGCTAGTTATTAGCTTTACAGTGTAAAAGCCTACATTACTTTTTTTGTTAGGCAAGCAAAGTGGCATTAAAGTTTAACGACTATACAGTATACACAATACGTTCTAGCTAGTCAAGCTAGATAGCTTTATCGTATACAGGCTATACAGTATTCACTAAATATTCTAGCTAGTCAAACTAGATAGCTTAACGTGTACAGGCTATAGAGTATACAAATATGGTCTAGCTAGTCAAGCTAGATAGCTTTATCGTGTACAGGCTATACAGTATACACAATACGTTCTAGCTAGTCAAGCTAGATAGCTTTATCGTGTACAGGCTATAGGGTATACACAATACATTCTAGCTAGTCAAGATAGCTAGTATAGACATACTTAGGTCAAACTAGCTATTTAATCTAGAATGCTTTAAAGGGATATATATTTATTCGTTCTGTACATTATTTAGCTAGTTGCTGTTTTTTATAAAAAAAGAACATTTGAAAGATACACATAAACGTCTCTATCTCTTGAGATATGTTAAAATACGTAAACGGCTGTGATGTGGCTTAATACTATAATCAAAAAGCATTGATCTATAGTATGAATGCAAGCAAATTTTTTTTCAGGTAGGTATAGGGTGCTGTACAGTTAATGCATAAAAAATGTCTCCTCGCAAGTTGATGTCCGTATCTTGAGTCCCTTTTCATAAATGAATGTACAAATGTCGAGCTTGTCGTGTTGGTTTCATGTTATTGTCTGATTATATTAGAGATTAGACGAAGGGCCAAGTTTCATAACGTTCCTTCAAAAATGGATCCAGTTTTTTTCTGTCACAGTAAACTCAAGTTCTGCATGAATTTTTATGCAGAAGAGTAAAACAATGCAACGTTTTAATTGTTATGTAAATTAAATGAATTTTTGGCTACATCGTACTATTATACACCTTTTCTGCATGAAAACCTTAATTAATCTATATAGTAATTATTATTATTTTTCATTTATCCCTGGATCTTTGGCTCTCGTCTAGTCTCAATTAAAACTGAAATTCAAAATAATTTTGGCGGATTTCTGAACTTTCTTTAATGCGGGTTTATTGATGCTTAGTTTATAGTTATAGTGTTGCAATGTCTACTTCGAATTATATTGAAGGCCATTTTATTTAATTTGCAACATATTCAAGAGAAAAAGATATTCGTTGGCTTCAAATTGAATCTGCATCAGCATGATGATTGAACCAGCTTTTGTCTCGCTTGCAGTGCAGTGCAGTGCAGTGCAGTGCAGTGCAGTGCAGTTCTGCTACACACATATTTACAATTAAACTATTAGTAATCAAGTTTAAATGTAAATCAAATTAAAACCTGTTGAGCGCCATTAATAATCAGAAATGCAAAAATCTCAGTTAACCCATTTTAAGCATAATATTTAACATTCAAATTACATCTGTGTCATGTAAAACATATTTTTTATTCAACATATATGTTTTCTATTTAATCCAACATATAAAATGTTTTTTTTTATAATTGAACTCTTTAAAAGTGGCGGAAACAAGAACCTTGTTAATAAAAAAAGACGACAAATTGTTATTGTAATAATCTGCATATCGTTTCTAAATATATTTGATGTAATCTGTAAGAGTTTAGTAAAACCGGTTTTAGTTTTTTGTATTCAAGGTTTTTGACATGAATAGTGCATGTTTATTGTTTAATCATGTGATGAGTCAAAAGAAATAAATTTCATGGTTTTATTTTTCAATAAATTTAGTCTCTGAAGCCAAGTGTCAAGGATTTTCATACAGGGTTCCCCACAAAGGATGAGACTGCTGTGAAGACTTAATACTTATTATTAACACCATCTGAGATGTAAAATTGATTTTCTCTTTAAGACAGTATATTAATGGTTCACTTCATGAAATTGACCCCCCCCCTGTAGTTTTTTTTTACATAACTGAAAAGTATTTCTCTGAGGTTGTTGAAATTTTCTGACTTATCCTAAATACCTAAAGCCCTCCCTTTAGGTCTAAAACCAGGCTTTTTTACTAACTGCATGAATCCTCAGTCTCACTGCCTTAAAGACAACTTTTTCCTGCAACAAACTAAATCAATGTTTTGACCCAACTTCAGTGGTTAGATTTTGATAATTTTTAGCCTCTTGGAAAGCCTATGATATAAGGAAACGGATTGCACAAGTTTTTCAAAGAAATCTATGTAAATTTTTTGCATACAGCCTGTCAAAATAAATTTGCTCATTTTTAGTTTTTCTTAATTACACATCAGGTTACTTAAAATTTTGCAATTTTTTGGCGTATTAAAAATGGCATGATTATGGGCTTTTTGATAATCTATAATTCATTATTTTACGGGCATTATTCCTTAAAACGCGATTTGCAATTTTTGCGAATTTTAAAAGTAGGCTTAACAATCTTTTGTCATATATAGACATCAATATGGCCTTTGCCTAGTTTGTTTCCAGCATGAAGTTCTTCATCTTCCTGGAGCTTGTCCAGTGATACATGATGTTTCCATTGTATTTTTTCTCCATCTACATTTACCAAGGTTTGAAAATCTCCAAGAATGTTTCTGGCAAGTTTGATCAGATGAGAAGCATCCATCATCACTTGTACAGTGTTACCAAGCACATTTTTGAATTTCAAAGAGGTTTAAGTCATCTCCTGAAGAACTGCCCCATTCATCTTTTCTAAAGCTAATTACTTTTTCTCTCATGATGAACGTGCTTTAAAATGGTCAATAACGGCAATCAGTTTTTCTTCTATGAAGATATATACAAATGAAAAATTAAAATAGTAACTCGGATCTTTCTGTTTAAACATTGGTTTTCAAAAATATTTACCAAATTAAAGTTTTTAATTTCAACCGGCCATAAGTTTTCTAATCTAATTACATCTTTGGAACCTAATTGCATAAACTTTTAATATTTCAAACTTTATTCAATCTAACAGATTGATAGGTTTAAATATCGTTGGGTTGCAAAGATTAGAAAATCTGAGTTTGTGGCCCAGACTTAATTCAATTGAAGAAATTAATTTGTTAAGAACAGAATCTTTTTCATTGCTGATTGACGTATATATCGTTTTAATTTTAAACATTTCTACTTCAGATATCCTTCCTATGGGTTATAAATCCACTGGAGGAATTCAGATATCCTTCCTATGGGTTTTCATACAGTGATAACCAGAAAACTTAGGAATAGTAATATGATCTTGATCAGGATCAAGTTTTTACTTTAAAAATTTCAGTAACCATAAAACACAGCAATTGTGCAGTGTAAACAGACCCATTTCACAAAAAGTAGTTTTTTAAGTGTCTGGTAAGGTAAAACTATTTCCTTTGTAACACAATCAAATACACTCAAGTATGAATATAATGTCGTCTTCCTATTTCATTGTTTTCTGGTTATCTCTATATATAAAAGTTACAAAAATCATTGATAAGTAAATATAAAATCAGTTGTCACATGTTTTTATTTGTCAACAACAACAAAAACGTTATTTTTAACATATTTCAGGCCTTTTTAAGGGGGGGGGGGTAGGGCAGGTCGTCCCCCAACTAGACCCTTCATAAATTTAAAGCAGCCAGCCTTCATAGGGTTGAATGAAATAACATTTATATTAAATTATTCATTAGAACAATATTAACTAAATAAGCACGGGCGGATACAGGGAGGGGGGGGCGGCAGGACCTTCGCACCCCCTGACGGATTCAAGGGGGGGGCGTATCCCCCCCTCCTGAGATTTCAGAATAGTTCCTCAATAGCACTTAAGGGAAGGAAAACCTAGTACAAAACAGAAAAAATATCCATCTTTAAAAAAACATTTGTTCCTAAATCTGAACGTTTTTGTTCCGAAATATATTTAGCACCCCCCTCACTTAAATCCAGTATCCGCCCCTGTAAATAAGTCAAGACTCACCCTCTCTATTATCTAGCTGTTCCTGTTGATGTGGATGGTGGGGAAGGTGGAGACTGGGAAAGCGATATAACTTAACTTTCGTCCGCAAACGTATTTGTTTTCAAAATGTTTTGACCGACAATACTAAATTTTCCCGGAGTCCTGAAACCTGGCCTTCCTGTGAAGTTACTCCACGTTTTTTTTTTAACTTTTCATCTTTAGGAAAAGAATGAAATCTTATCTTATATGTTTGATCCATGTTACAATTTCACATTGAACAATACCTCAAGCTTGTTTATACTGAGAAATCATGTAACTGATCAAAACAAATCCCCCCAAGAACAGTGTACTACATGTACACAATAACATACCAATACATGTTTACATTGTCATACCAATACAGGTGCCACCTGTTATTCAATAGTATATATATTCTTAGGAAAAATGTTTCTAAAACATTTGCTACTCCTTTATTATGCCAAATTTTGACCCTGAAAGAAAATATAGTATAAAAACGAACCAGTGCTTCCCTACCTAGCTATAATTTCATCTATATTTTCAAATTGTAAAAACAAATTTTAACCCCTATCCTTTCACGTGCCCCTAGCTACGGGCCTGAGCCCATTCTCTCCATAGAAAGTGGTCGTGTATTTCACGTACTTTGGGGGACGATATGTTGGCCGTTAGATGTCTTGTGCTAAATTCTTATCCGATAGATAGATATTTCTCCGTACATTTCACGACCAAAATAGGAGACGTCAAGTTGTCGACCAATGTAGTTTATGGAAGGAAGGGCCTCTGCTCTCTCCTTCCTCCTAGAATGCTACCTCCGTAGGGCTGGGCACGTTCCAACTTTTTTAAAATTATTCCATTCCGTTCTAGAACGAGGGCCTTCAGCTAGATCGTTCCGTCCTAGTTCGTTCTTTTTCCAATCGTTCCATCCCCGTTCCGTTCTTGGAGTTCTTAGTTGAGAACGGTTCCATCCCAAGTGTTAATAATTTGTTTATATAATTTTCCTAAGAATACTCATCAGACACTTCCTTTTATTACTTTGGTGAAAGCTTCAAGGGATGAAAAATAGAGATATATATTTTCATAAGATTATTACATAAATAATGATACCATATCTATATTTACACTGAAGGCAGTATTTATTAAAGCCTTTTTAATGAAACTGTTTAAGTTAAGGGCAAAAGTGAGATTTTTAAGTATTATTTTTATATGATGTGATTATACTTACATGGAATACATACGTAGTTTATAGAGTGGCATATCCGATACACCTTTGAAACCTTCATTTCTCCATCGTTTCTGAAGCAATTGAAATACTTTTGTAGAGAAACCATAATGAAAATAATCAGTTTTCAAATGAGAAACATGGATTTTAAATGCAATACTTGATCAGACAAAGCTTTGAAGGGTATTGTTGTGAATCAGAATTGAAATTATGTCTGCAATCACTAAACCTCTCAATTGATTCTATATTAATTAAACTGCTTTGTAGGTTTTTTTCAACAAATCTCCAGATGTTATATTAAATGAGAACGCGTTCTTGATTTTAACATTCTTTTCAAGCAATTTCCGTTCGTTCATTCTTTTACTAAATGTTATAATATGTTTAAGAACGCATTCTGTTATCTTCGTGTTCGTCCTTTTTTTCTAAACGATGGGATCGTTCTTGATAATTCCGTCAGGAACACCATGCTGAAAGTGATATTTCCGGTCTTGGGTTCATTAAGACTCTCCTCACCGGAACATAATGATACACTGAATAGGTTATACATGGTGAACGTGGTAAAAGTAACAGTTTAAAACAGAGCTCAGCTACCAAATAAATATATACAGAGTTGAACACAAGGGATAAGACTTCGGAGACGATTATACGGAATTTGTTTAGTCCTGTTCCTTGTAGGTCAAAACTGGCAAATTTCTGTGCTTGACCATTTAGTAAACCATTAAAATATTTAATTAAATACAGAAACCAAAAATCAAGCTTTTATCGTCATATATTTAGAGTTTTGGGCCGTATTTACACTCTCATCTGTTGTTGGTAACCCTGTATAAAGGAAGTCTGTAGAAACATATCTTATTCCATATCATTGAAGTCACAACTTTTGTGGATTAAATTTGAGGATCAAGCATTTATCTCCATGAGGTTCTGCAGAACTGTTCAGGAGCTGTTTTCTATAAATCTTGATCCTCTGTGTTCAGAAGCTGTTCTTTATAATCTATATCCTCTGTGGGTTAATAGAATGAACATTTGTAAAATAAATAAAATGCATAAAATAAAATTATGTAAAATATTTAGTTCAAATCATTTTTTAACAGAATAATTGGTGAGATAAATAAGCGCTGTAATATAAACTACATTCAAAGAAGTTTTTGAAAAAATCGTAAAATATGTAGGGAAATCCCCCCCCCCCCCTTATATTGGTGTTCGATTCAAAAACTAGATCACATTTCAGGCCTGCATGCAAAAAATCAGTGTTAAATCTCGAGTAATAAAATCATCAGGCTTCATTGGCATTTTGGAGGAGGAAAATGAGGGAAAAGGGGAGGGGAATGGTGTAACGACAGGGCGAAATGCATTAAGTTGTTTCAAGGTTTCTTTTACCCACTCCGTTGAACCAACTATAGTCTGAAAAAAACAACGGTTTCACACCAGGGGCAGGGCCTGGGCCCAAGGGTCCCCACCTTAGCTCCTAAGGAAATTTATGATATGAATTAAAATCATGAAGGGATGAAAGATACAACAAAAATAGAATTGAATAAATGACCTGAGATACCAGTTAAAATTGTTTTCTCATCTTAAATTATTAACACTAATATGCCTTTGATGAGATATGTAAATCTCGAAATCTGATGATGAGGCCTGCTGTTAGCATGAGCTAAACTTTTTTGAATGACAAAGTATATATACAGGGTTACCAACAAAGGATGAGACTTCAGAAAGGACATCACAAAATGTACACTGTCTGTTTCCATGAATACTAAATAGTAAATACACGGTTTCCTTAAACTTGTTTCTTTCTTTGCCAAATCATAAGATAATAATAGACTAAATTCAAGGTAGACGACTCAATTAAACCTTGGGTTTTTCATTATTAAGAGTTTTAGGTCGTCTTTACAGTCTCATGCTTTGTGGGTAACCCTGAACACAAAAAGTAGTCTTAAAAGTAATAAACACATGTGTAGATATGAACAACATCTTATTTTCTGCAATGTATAAACTTTTTTAAAGGTTGATTTTGATTGAAAATTATATCTACATACGTAGTGCTCTTCAGATTTTGCTTCATCTTGGACGTCGACACTTCAAGTCTCGAACCAAGCTATGTAGTAGAGAAGCCTGTATATTTAATTAGTTTCATGTCAAAAAAACCAACTTTGTAGATGAAGCCATATCTGGCTAGCACTCAATGTATTAAATGTTACCCACACTATGAGTTGTGACGATTGCACAAGTAAGGTTACCTTTAACTGGATACTCCATATGTATATACTCTGTGATTTAAAGAGTCAACATCATAAATTAAGACAGCCATGTGTGTTTCTCTCGATCTCTATGCGTCCTCCACGCATCTCTGACCCTTTAGTAAAAGTAAATTCAACCTAATGTCTGACCGAGTCCTATTGAGTGTCTGCCATATTTACCCGATGTCCGGGCGATACGGTACAAACTGGGTCCGGAAAGGTTGACCCGGCTCGGAAATTCAAATATACTAAGTCTGCCCGTGCCTCACCCCTCATGCATACCAATCTCCCTCAAGGGGGGGGGAGGGCTCTAAAAAAATGCGATGCACATCCTCCTTACAAAAGTTGTATTTATTTTGATTAAGTATTTTGATAGTGAATTGTTTTGTAATTTTGAAACATACATTTTTGAACAAATAAGAAATTGAAACTTGCTGCTTTTTGTTCAATTTTTAGGGGGGGGGGCAACATTTTTTTTGGCGAGCACACTCAAGCCTTTATCCCCCCCCCCCCATGAGATATTGATTTAATCCACCCCTGTTTAACACAATCATATTGCAAAGATATAAGGATTACAAAATTTAAGTTTGTCGCATAGAACTCAGTTCCTTTGCAAAACTTGTTGTTAATAATAGAGCGAAATAAAATACTTGTCATGATTCGACATAAACTCAATTTATATTATTTCAGATTTGTTTTATACACATTTATAGTTCTTCATGCTTGATTTCTTTATTTTGTTTCTCTTGTAACCATAGTTTTCTAAACCAGTCTGGTTGAGATTCCAGTTGATCTTCGTTAACATAATATTCATAATCAACCAGTATCTAAATTATAAAAAATCAGAAATAATACAAAAATACAGGGAGAGAAAGTTCAAAACTGTAATTTAACCCGAATGTGACACTTAGTTTCCGGTTAAGACTAAATAAACATAGTTATCTGTTTCTCTCAACTTTTAAACAAGTTATGGCATTAAAAATCTATTTACTTCATTAAATTGATAATATGGGTACATTTTGATAATTACGATGTACACATTATATCATTGTGTAAAATTTTTGAATTAATAACTTTTATTTCATAAATTCTGGAACAATACACATCATTTGCTAAAAAGTGTACATTTGGAATATTTTCAAATATCATAATTTTCAGATTTTTCAAGCTTAAAAAACGTCTGTTACCTCTTGATCAGCTTGTATATCCTGGGTTGCGACCAATGACATGACAGTACCAAGGATCGGATGAAGAGGAAAAAGAAGGAACTCAGAGTTAGGTTGGAAACTATGATTTACTTTATGTCCCAGGGTAGCATTATACCTAAACAAGTATAAATTAATAATGTAAAATTTTATTCAAAATCAAATATTTTATTATTTAATTCTTATTTTTAAAGATAATTTTCTGCTTTAAATAAGCAATACCATATATGCTTTATAAGAAAGAAATATTAAGTTTATGTTTGCAGGAAACCTTGAGAAAAAAGTGTATACAGTTTGGAACAGCTCTAGGCTTGAGTTTGATATCCACAGCAGACAACTTTAACATTTTAGGGAAAAGTGCTTAATCTATTAATCTTAGTCATTACTTCCAACAGTAATCCACAAGTAGCAATCTCTTACACATAAATAGATGAAAGTTTTGCTAATTATTTATAAAAAAGCTTTGAACAAGAGTTTTATATTCCTAAAATGTACATGTCTAGGTCTACACAAAAGTATTGATAAGTAAGGTAAAATCAAAAGGCCAAGCTCGGTTCAAGATTTCAAAGTCAATCCAGTCTTGTAAATTAACTTTTCAACCTTTCAGAGCAGACTAGATCTTTGTGTTCCTGGTACGACCACGAGATATCCAAGAGGAATTAATTTTTAATTAAGATACGAATCATTGCTTGATCCTGGGATTTACAATACAAAAGTTTTGGCCTCTTGGAAAAGGACAACAAAAAACACATAAAGCACATGCACAATTCGAAATTAGGTTTAAAGACAATTAACGAATAAAAATGTGGGCGTATTGTGTAACTATTAAAACATATTTTCATATTTCAAAAGTTGGATCTGCTCTCCTGTTGTATTGAAAATACCTTTGAAGATTAGCGAGCTCTGGTGGAAGATCTATACAATAGTTATCTTTTACTTCCTCTTGATGATGAAACATACGATACGTATTCCGTATATGTTCCTCTTCTTTACTAAAGCTTTGTCTAAACAGAAAACAAATTTGAACTTTTTTTAAATGGAATTTTATAAAAAAAAATATATTTTGAACATGAATTTTTCAAATTTATTCTAAACAATAAAAATCAAATAACTGAAAAGATAACAAAAGCATCTTTTTGATATAAGTTTAATGGGATTTTAAAAAAAACAATAGAAGTTTTAAAAAAAATTATTCAAATATATTCAAAATATGCCGTTTTTCTTAAATTTAACTTTGTCAAAACAGCAGAAGTCAAAAGACTAAAAAAATCAGTAATGATTTTAATTGTTTGCATGGACGAGTTAGTTTTTATAAAAAAAATAACGAAACTATAATTGAGGAAGTGAGCTTTTCAAAATTGAAAACAAATCCCTTGTTTTGCAAACAAAACTGCCAAAAGATGTTTACACAAAATATGTTTATGAAAATGTCACATCTTGAGAAAAAAATCAAAATAGAAGATAAATGCACATTAATAGGTCCAGTATATCAAATTAAATTAGCCGAAAAGTAATTGTAGACTGTTTTGCTGGTTTATGCCAAAATTCGCACAAATTGCCAAAAATGGTGCGAAAGTGAGCTTTTGGTTAAACCCCTATAGCTCTTGAAATTGTTTGTGTGGTTGTTTATTACCTGTTCAGTGGTCTGGTGGTAGCATTACAAAAAATAATATATCCATTGTAAAAAGCTAACACTTCACCTGCATGTGAAATAAAATATTACTAAATAATCTCTAGAGGAACTCAGTTTCTTTTCATCCTGATGGTTTAAACATTTGATAATCCAATTTTAGACTATTAGATCTAACAGAATGCATAGAATTCTAAAATCCCGAGCTTTATTAATCCCAAATGGTTCATTGGTTAGAATAGTGAAAGCTTTAGGCGCAGGACTGTATCCGTTATTCCAAGTTACCATAAGTTTTGGACTTATCATTAATAAAAGCTTGTAATTGTGTAAACTAGATTTATAGAAATATACCCTCTTAATATACTAGTGTAGAAACTAAGACTGGCGTTGGTGGTTAATTGACTAATTGGTTGGTTGATTAGTTGATTGATAGTTGATTAGTTGATTAGGCTCCTGGACTCAGACACAGGATTTGATTATTGATTAAAAGTTTTACTGTTTTGTGTTTTCCTTGTCGGAGTAAAAAAATTGCCAGAATATTGCTTTGGTTTGGATTTTCTCCGAGAGGAGGGGTTGGTTAAAGACGACATTCTGTGAGGGACGGGGCCGGGATAGAAAGTAGATTTATGGTCAACAACTAGATGGATAAGTAAATAACTATACGCTGCGTCGGTATATTGCGGATGCAACGGCTTCTAACTCACCCATCGCAATATCACAGCTGTCTTTCTAAGAATTCTCAAAGAATATATGAAACGACAGCTGTATTGAGTTAACACTCTACGCTAGCTTACACTCTAGTTTTGCGGCAATTTGAACACCATCTTACATATATTATACTGTGCATGTCCGTCTGTTTGTTTGTTTCTATTTAATCACCTGAAATCACGCTTACAGTCCTTTTAACGCCTACCAAATTGCATGGAACTAAAAAAAAATATGTTCCTTAATTTTTGCCACAATTAATGACACCATTTTAACTTTTTGCTTCACTGTATTGTGGCATATTGACTAACCTTCTTTGTCTGGTCTTTTAAGTATACTTGAAATAACAGAAATTATCGAGAAAAAAATATGTTAAAAATCTGTAATATTTCTATCCTTTAATTATATTTCGTTTAGTAAACAGTCCTTGTCCAGCTGAAGTATCTTCCACTGAACTGTTTCTAACCTCAACTGTTCTACTCTCATATGGGTCAACCTCTAGAGGGTCAACACCTAAACTGGAGAGAGAAATTAAAGGGATTGTTTGTATATTTGTAAATTTTACCACTCAAGCATTGCCATAAGGGCCAAATTCATAAAAATGTGTTATCTCTCAATTTTTTAACTTCTGCATGAAGAAGCCTGAATTTTCTGATCATTTTGAGATAAAGTTTCAATGATTCTGGCCCTAACTGCTAAATTCGTAAATGCTAAAACTCAAATAGTATTTACATATATAGCTAAAAAATAGTATTTACATATATAGCTAAAAAATAGTATTTACATATATAGCTAAAAAATAGTATTTACATATACAGCTAGAAAATAATCATGAAATCTGATGATTTAAAACCTGTAATGAGTTGGCGGAGAGTATTTGATATTAGATTCTGAAGATTCTTTAAAATCTAGAATCCACAAATTTCCAGACTTACAAGCTTGGTGTAATTTTGTAATTTGACCCTAGAATATAGAATATTGTTAAAAATAAATTCAGTCATAGGTTTCTTCGTTTACAAACAAATAAAAAAGTCTTGAAAAAAAAACTTTATAAAATAAATCATTACCGCGGCAAAGAGTTTTTTTGAGAACTCAGGAAGGATTTGAGTCTTTGCCACAAACTCAAGTTTTCTAATCCCTATATCTGTGGAGCCTATTCAAATTGGATTAATTGATCTAACATAATTGATAGTTTGAAATATCCGAGGTCTATGACGCAGGGTTGCAAAGATATAGGGATCAGAAAATCAAGGCATGTGAAAAAGACACAATTCCTTTGCTAGATCTTTAAAAATATCATAATTTATAAAGTTTAAACAAAAACTACCTTGATTGGTTCATTGTGTGAAATATAGCTAACATTTATTTTAAAATAAAACTAAAACCTGAATTAACAAATGATTCTGCCAAAGTCCCACCACAGCAGTGTAGAAGTCTGGATAAAGGTAAGCCCCAGATAAAGTTTTATCTGATATTTGACATTCCTTTAAATCCTCTAAATCTCCAGATGTGCTTGATTCACATAAATCTCCAGGTCTATCTTGAGAGTCAAATGAAGTATAGTAGAAGCTTCCCTCCCAGCCATGAGCAGCTATATACCAGGTCGGATTGGAGGGACCATTCCTGCAATATTAGAGATGAGTGCATATAATGCAATATTTTAGGAGACATGATAAGATTATTTATGCTAGAATATATTTAATGAAAACGTTAATAAAGATTAAAAAATAAAAAAGTAATATTAGAGATATTGCATATAATGCAATGTTTTCAGAGACATGATAAGATTATTTATGCTAGAATATATTTTATTTATTAACAGCTTGGGTGGAATAATATAACTCAGTGAATTTATATATATATATATATATCTTGGTATATAAGGCGTTTTTAATATTTTTCTTCATATATACGCAATAGATAGAAGACAAATTAAAAGGGAAACCCGAATTAAAATTGAGTTAAGCCAATAGTCCTATTAATTTTTAGCTAACACTCCCTTTAACTGTAAGATTGTAAACTCTATTCTATGAAAAACAAGCATCACCACAAGGTTGTAATGCAAGGAAAGTTTTTTCAGAAGTGTACACATCTTTTGTACTGCAGTGTACTGTCTCTGGGCGGTAATGTAAACACAAAACGGATGTCAAAGCCTGACATGGGATCCATTTTTCACATAAAAAAATCAATGAAATATTCTGGTCATAGGAAACTATTATGTGAATTATCAAAATTATCAAAATTTAATGCTTTTAACCTCCTCGGATACTAAACGAACACTGATGCTTCAATTCTTGTTTACAAATTCCGTCCAAGGAGAACTGGTTTCAATATGTACGCAGAGTATACACAACTGCAATTAACTTTCCTTGCATTACACCCTTGCATCACCATACCTAATCCAAAATGGTTTTAAGGGAAATTTTAAAATCATCACTCAATCCCCGGCACGTTATATATACTGGGAATTTGAGAAAAAGCCATTCGGAAAAATTCCACTGAAAATATGCATTTGAAAACATTAATAAGGTATAATTTAGGATTTTTAAAGAATAAAGATGGAGCTTTTTTATTCCCCTGAGAGGAGATTAAATACTTGTTATTTTTTCATGTGAAAAGTTAAGAAAGAAACCTCTTATCAATTTATAAGAATCTATTTATCAAACAGTTCACCTATAAGGATAAAAGTTTCAAAGTCCATTCCTACTTGGTTTGGGGGCTTTGTACACTTGTTGCAAAACAGAAGAAACAAATGAGTTACCTAATTAAAGTAAGATTTGTATCATAGAGTTCTATCTTTTTATTCTCCTGATTTGAACCCTCTCTCAGGGCCCATTTTCTAAGTTGTTTTGCAGCTAGTTCTCCATTAAAACATTCCTTACTACGTTTACATCAAATAAAATATTTTTTCATCAATATTTTTTACAAAATTAGCATTTATTAATTTGAAAAAGTAAAGATAAACAGAAGAATATTAGTCTCAGTTATAAGAGCTGAATGAATTGTGAGTTAAAAATGTTCTACGGAGCCTTTAAAGCTGATAAGAATGCAAGACAATTTAAAGCTTTCAGAGAGGAACTGAGTTCTTGCAACAAACTCAAATTTTCTAATTCCGAATTCTGTTCAAAATGGTGTTTATCAAAACTTGATCCTCTCTTTTTGCTAACCTTCAGAGTGTCCAAACTAATTTATTCTTCAGATTAATTTCTAGAGATTAAAGATTCCTTTCTAAATATAATTAAGTCTTTTCAAATGAAATAAAATTTTAATAGTTTTAGACTTGAAAAAAAATCTTTTACTTTTAATGAAGTGAAGAAATAATAATGATTTATTCAATGATCCTGGTAGTTCTTGAAGCAAAGGCAACACAGATAAAAGACAAACATTGAAATTTATTCATTTTCAAAAATCAAGATCCACCTAATAATGATAATTATAGTTCAAGGTTTTTTTTGAATGGTTTACGTTAATCATTAAAAAGATTAACGAACACGTTTTTAAATTATTTTAACTTTTAACCAGGGGCGTACACAGGAATTTTCGGGTAGTGAGCACCCGTCGTGATCGGGGGCTTAAACCCCCTTAAAAAGATATATTTCACTAAACCATCTCAAACCCCCATTAACCCACCCTGCAAACGCCCCTAATTTGAATTTGCATTAATTTTTTGATTCCAAAAAATGCACTTTTAAGATACAGGGTGTTCCAATAAACATGGGAATTTAGTAACAAATTTGATATCGTCATTGTTATGAATTAGCATTGTAATACCTAATTTCAAAAGCCATAGTATCATGTCTGCTAGAATTTATTTTATGAACAGAGTAAAAGATGTGTAAAGATCTGTCTATAATGTCTCCGCAAGATGAACAGTGAAGACTTTTTATACTGTCATTTTCTTGTTTTACTAAGTACAACCGTATGCAGTCAAAAAATAAACAAACTAATTATAAACTTAGCAGACGAAATTCATACGGATTAGAGCTTTCTCAGTAGGTATCACTATACTAAATCAACGAATTATTTAAGAAGACGATATCGAATTTGCCACTGAATTCCCATGTTTATTGGGACACCCTGTACAATAAAACTGCACTTTGAAAATTCTTATCATTTCAATTTTAAAAATTTTCTGAACTCAATATCTTAAAAGTATTTATCTCTGTTATCGATGTCGAGTTTTGTATAAAACTGGTAGATAAGTAGAGAAGGATTCACGTAGGAACATCAACTAAACAGTCTGCAGGAGATGACTTGCATATTTTAAACCTGTAGTTAAACAACCATTTTCTCCTCCTTCCCTTGATCATATTGCATTGAAGTCACAAATTTCTCATTGTTCGGGATTATTTTTAAAGTTTAAATACGTATGACTAATAACTACTAAGTATGTCGGGGTTTTTCTTCCGAAGAATCTTGATACTTTGATATAAAAAGTTCTTAAGGTATTTGGACTTGACAGATGTCACAAAAATCTGAGCAGTTTCAATTTTTTCTTAATAAATATCTTTTTTTTTAACTTTGCAAGATCTTAGTTTTGAAAATATTCTAGTCATATCTAGGTATGTTACACGAATCAATGTAAGAAAATCACAGGAATAAAAATTTCTGAAAACAAAACCTGGAAATGAAAACTTTTGTAAAAAAGTCCCAGTTTAATTTTCAAACAACCGGTAAAAATATCTTTCTTCATAAGCATAACAATAACAAAAACAAATAAGATTGATTACATATCGGCTTAACCTTTCTCCGTTTACACAGTTTTATGGATCTCACTGTTATTATTTAAACAGTAGCAAAATTTGTTACAAGGTGGTAAACAAATGAAGTGAAAGTATTGAATCTGATATCTTGATATTTCTCGCCGGTGCGGTATTTTGATTTTCCAACATGACTTACAATATTCTGAAGTACCATGCACTGCATGTACTGGTACAGTGTTTATCTCAAATGACATTTTGAAAATATCAATATTTTCTGTTCTGAAGTTATGTATACAAATTAAATATTTCTATATATATATATAGATATAATATATTTATACTTTTTCCTGTTCTTTCCTGATTTATAATTCTTAGAAGAAAGTTTATATTATAGAAACAACTCACCACGCAAACGAACAATGAATTGTTTGCCTTGTCTCATGACGTCACGGTACAGTGGTAATCAGAGAACAGTGGAAGGGTTGTCGTCTTCATTCTTTTTTAATAATGAAATGTTCCTCAGAATTTGTCATTTGTAACTTATTCTGATTTTAAAATTTTTATTTATTTAAAACAATTACATGAAAAATGAGTATTTCAAAATTATCAAAAAAATGCATGCAAATTCGACATGTTTAAACGTTTATACTTCCTTTCTCTAATGTAGTATGTATAGGGTGCATTTTTAAAATAAATGTAAATATCTTTATGATGATTCAGAATATTATAGTCTTCTAATTTTTAAAACAATCTAATTAAAATTTGCTTTTTTAAATTCAAAAAGAGATATCAAAAAAGCTTTAAAACAACTTAACCCCCCCCCCCCGTCCCTAAACGAAATAACCGAAATTTAAAGTGCACAAGCATTCTTTAGAAATATTTATTACAGAGTATGAAATAGAAATAGTTTTCTCACCTTCTTAGAATCTAATAAAAAAAAACTGCTGAGTTCAATTTAAACTTTTAGAACATGTTCAGAACATCGATATGTTTTTATTAATACCTAATAGATGCTAATTTGTAAATAGATTAAACTGGCATACTCCATATTCTGCTAAGGTCTAATCAGGGAGTAAGGAAAGGTTCGCCCTACCATATGATTTTACATGTTTTGCAGACGGTACTCCATTTGTATATGAAATATTCAGAATAGGTTATTGTATACGCGGAAATTGTACATCAGACAAATATTTCTTATTCAAATGAAGTACCGTCTGCAAAGCATGTATAATCATATGGTAGGGCGAATCGCGTCAGTTATATCTCCCTTCTTTTCCTTACTCCCTGGTTCTAATGGAGTAGAATAGGACTAGTACAAAAGTCAGTTTTATTTAATTTGTGCTTCATACAGGGTGTCCCACGAAACATGGCACAACTTGAACACCGTCTTTGATCTTGATTTTGATGTGGTCGGCCTTTTTTGTGCATATAAAGAATGTTATAGTTCAGATTTAGACAATTATGCTTTTATTTGATAAATTTAAATCTGAATAAAATCTTTAAAATCTTCTAATATATTGAAAGAAACAAAAAAGACCCATTTTGGAAATGTCAAAACCTTTGAATTTTATGTTAATGTCTAAAAAATCATACATGTAAAAGTAGATTGACAACGAATGCCCCATATTATTTCATAAAGGTTAAACTTATAAATAATACACAAATATTATTAAAAATGCCACACAAATACAATACAAATAAACTTTATTATTTATCCTATAATGTATTTTTATTACATAACATGGACACTAAATTTTGAAAATCAATAACAGAACTATTTTTGTTCAATCATAATATTACACAATTTTAACAAAGTTCAATGCCCCAATATATTTGGTAAAATTCTACTGCAAGGCAAATTACACTTCCTCTTCTTACATGTTTAATGTTTATATAATTATATAATATAAATTCTTGCATACATGACTAAGAACTGAGAATTAATGTGGGTTTTAACAGCCAGGATATTCTTTATCAACGCTCAACCCCTCGCTCTATTTGCATTCTTTGATCTATTCACCTTTTCTCTTAGTATTTCAAGAGCATCTCCTTCATTTGCTGCTTCTGGCAGTACAGAGCTTAATCTTGTGCGCAGGCGCTCTGCAACAATCTGCATTGGGTCGTCTTCTAAATCTTCAGCTCTTCGGTTCACAAATTGCCGCGTGGGAATGCTGTGTAGTGCAGTTTGGAAAGGAGACTGCGGTAGTGTTGGACTAAGTTGAAAGCTTGAGGCATCCTGTAAGGGGCTTGAGAATTGATTTCTGGCTGTAAATCTATTAGGAGTTTGTGTAAACTGTGATTGAGTCTGTTGTATCGGAGTTAGATGAGCCGACTGTTGGCTTCCCTGGTCAAAAAGGGAAGGAAATGGAAATGAGGAGCCAGAATTTTGGAAAAGAGTTTGGGTACTAAACCTTCCTTGATCAGCCTGGGAAGGTTGAAAAGGTTGTCCTCCTAGTTCTGTTGTTGAAACAGTCCTAGCTTGATCTGCAATATTTGTTTGAAATAATGTTCTTCCTTGACTTGAACTACTAGGTTGGAAAACAGATCTTGCTTGTCCCTCCCTAAACGCTGTAAATTGAGTTGGACCCCTCAAAAAGTTGGATTCACCACGAACAGGGATAGCAGCGCCTTGTAACGAATCATCTTCTCTCTGAAGAAAGGGAAGAGCAACATGAGGCGATTCTTCTCCTCTGAAACTAGTTTGAAAATCTCTCACATGTGAACTTGAAGGAGGATTTTGAGTAAAACTGGTAAAAGGCAAGGGTTGGCGTGATTGCGCAGGCTCTCGGTTAACTAACGCAGAATCCCTTGAATCTTGGGGCGACCCCCTTGATAGAGAAGCTCCCCTTGGTACGGCTGGTACTCCAATTGGTGCTGCTGGTACCCCGCTAGGTACTGCAGGTACACCTGGAAAACTTATCCTCTGAAAGTTTTGAGTATCTAGACTTGGGGAGGTTGGAAATTGGGCAAAGAAATTTCCTGAGGGAGCAGAAGAGAAGGAAGAACTTGTTTGAGGCGATAATACTGGACTAGATGAAAAGGAGGATGACAAAGAAATTGGTAATTCCTCATCAGAAGAGGACACAAAAGAAGACTGTGAAGGGACTGGAGCAGGTGTAGCTGCAAATACTGGAAATCTTGAACCTGCTGTGTTAAATCTTGTAAATTGATTCTCTGCTGGTTCCCTAGAAAGTGATGCAAGCAGATTCTGTCCTCTTTCTGCCGGGCTTTCGGTAGTAGCAGATAGAGAGACTACGGCGGCTAATATAGTCTCTCCTCTGCTTTCTACTGAAGGCAGTGTGGGTTCTGAAAGAGGTTCGGAGACGGTGGTCTCCTGGGGTTGGAAAAGTTTTTGCAAGCTATTCATAGGTTTGGGGATGGGTGTCAAGTCCTGAGTTCTAGTCTGCTCCTTTCTTGACAATGGTCTTTGTCCTCTCCCCTTGATCCTCCTGACAGGTGCAGAAGGTTCTGGTAAATCAGTTACATCTTCAAAATCTTCGGTTGAGATCTCATTGTTATTTTCTGTCTTTGTTTCCGATAAAGAAGGACGGACAAAACTTGGCCGCTTTCTTTTGATTCCACGTACAACAGCTGGCATTTCATTTGTGTCAGGTTTAGAATCAGTTACTTCCTCAGGTTCTTCAATGGCAGGATGAGGAGTTACAAGAAGTTTAAAATTTTTAGATTCAGTCCTTGGTTCAATCTCATTAATTTCTGGGGCCGCGTTTCTAAAATGAAAGAATTAAATGATAAATATCATTATTTCAGAAAAAAAACTTACTTTTGGCTTTCAACGCTTTTCCTGATGCTTTCCCTAAGTTTAGATTTTGACATAGAAGCCCTGAAACAAAATTTGTTGTAATTCAATTAGCTAAAATCCTGCCTCTTTATTTGTTTAATAAAAGAAGATATCTGTTTTTCGAATACAGATATTTCATGTGAGTACACAATTTTTAACCCTTCAGGTAAAAATCAATTAAAAAAATCTGAAAGAAAAGGTGTCTGTCTTTGATTTTTGACAACTTTCTGATTACAACTTGTGCGTTTTCAACGTCTTTCTTTTTAATTTTGGATAATTTTAATTTAGATGTCATTGTCAGGCTATTTTTCCCCCGAAATTGAATATCCTGGCTTCTCCAGTAATCTTAAAAACGTACTAAAAAGTCATACGTCTAAAAAAATAAAAGAATTTATTGCTTTAAAATTGAGAATTCAATCAAACCTAAAGTTGGAAGGTTTTGAAAATGTTACTTCTTCTTCTTTTTCAACTTCTTCTTCTTCTTTTTCTTCTTCTTGTTCAATTAGTTGTTCTTTCCTGGAATTCTCCTCGTCTTCTGCAGGTTCCTCTGCTTTTAAAAAGGAAGGCCTGGAAGGTCGTCCTTTCCCTAGACAAATTTCGGATATTAATAATAAAAGAGATAAAGTTGGGAAAAGTATCCTCCCCGGATTTTTTAAGCAAATGGAGTGGGGGGGGGGGGTGCCATGTTCCCTGACTTTACAGTTCTAGAATGAAACTCATCTTCAGGGTGGAGTTTTCTAAACGAACCCAAGAAACAAACTCTTGCAGTTAAAGATGTTTATGCCGGGGCTTTGAAAAACTACAAGTGGGTTGTTAAGGTCAAAACCTGGCGAAGACGCTTCAAAGTTGACCCGGTCTGAAGAATATTTTATCAGGATTGTTGTAAATGACGACCTTAAATGTGCTAATTTTATCTAAACATTTATTATCTGTTCAATTAACCTTGTGCAAAATGCGTATTTTTTGTTGGCAAATCATTTAAAAGAAGTAACCACGTTTATAGCTAAAAGAAACCATGAATAAAAACTTAATTATGGTACCGTTAATTTTTTTTTCTAAATCCCTTTTTTGTTGGAATTTTTATATATTTTGTTTTCACATTTTAAATTTAAGATCCTTCTTTAAATCAAAGTTTTTTTATAAAAAAATCAGCTTAATAGATAATAAAAAAGCAAGCAAATTTTCAGTAACTTACAGTAAGCCCCATAAAACTGTGGAATAGAAAGACGATTGTTATTAATAATTAAAACATTCCTAAAAACAGCATATTTATATGTCGTCTTCCTATTCCACAGTTTTATGGGTCTAATTGTATTTCATTTGAGAAAGCAAAGTTTTAAATATTTCATGATTAAATCTTATCTAAATTACGACTAGGTAAACATTTACTGACATGAACAATCTTACCTCTGAAGAAATTATTTCTGAAGCTGGATCTTCCTGGCAGGGTTGGTCTAGAAAAAATAATGCAAGTAAAGTGACCAATTTTTGCCGTCTCAGTCCCAAGATGCATGACGATTATAGATTGATACGTGATCTATAAAATTTATTAGAAATTCAAAATAATTAACAACAAATGTATATTTATCAAAACTCAAATTCAAACTCGTTTCTAACTAAAAAAAAACCTTTTATCATCAGAAGTTCTTGATTCAACAACTTGTTCATCCTCAACATTTTCTTCTTCTTCAACTTCTTCTTCGTCTTTTACATCTTCGTCTTCGTCTTCTACATCTTCTTCTTCGACTACTTCCTCTGCTCTGTCTTCTTTTTAAAAAATTAGCATGGTCAATTAGATTTCAATTTAAAGACTTTTGAAAATTTGTCATCATTAATTAAAAGACAGAATTGTTCCATACGACTTGGTTTAAAAAATTAAATATTAAATTTGGTGTTTTTTACGATATTCCAAAGAAGTTATGACTTGTAAACGTTATTTAAAAGTTAACCACTAAGTTAAGAATTTGACACAAACCAAAATAGAAAATAGTTGAAATTTGTAAAATTATTTTAAATCTTTGCATTGTATTTAAAGATACAAAACTTACATTTCTCGTTAGTTTAATTTCTATTTTAGTAAATTATATTATTATAAAATATAATTAATAATAAAACTAAACTAATCAAAAATTTCTATTAATAAATTTGATTAAACTGTTGCTTTTTTTTGATAAGTGTTAGATGAATGAATGAATAATATTATTTTAATTGATTGATTGATTAATTACCTTGTATCAGACCACGTGGCCGGGGAAACAGGAACTTCCGGGACAGTGCGCGTGGCTGCTGTACATGCCTGAAAAACAAAGGTTCAGCTTTTGAAATATTTTGAAATCCACCAAAACATAAGAAACTTTTTGCAAAAAAAAGCTCCTGCAGTTAAAAGACGCCACTAAAAGTTCATAATCTGCAATTTATAACATTTGCTAATATGATCGACCATACATTTTTTTTTTCTTCATGACAGAAACAAATCTCAAGGAATAAATATTTGTGTAACAGTTTGTAAAAAGTGAATACTTTTTATCAGTCAAAAGTTTTTTATTTTTTAAAATGATTTTCCTGGGATTTTTAAAATTTTAGGTTAGGATAATTATCAATCCCAAATTTTAAATAAAATGATATCTTTAGTTTGAATTTTGTCGTAGAACTCTTTGGCATGTAAAATAACTAATACGTTTTACCGCTTTTTGGCCAACATTACCCACACATGATTCGCCTTACAGAGTCATGTTAAGTTTATTTAAAGTTAATTAACATCCCTTGGGACAATTAAGTAAAGTAACCATCTGGACCTGCTTTTCAAAGTTTTCTTTAAAATAATAGCGCATTTTCATCTTAAATAGCGATAGAAATTTTGTACATCTACTTTTTTGGGAAATTAAAATTTTACTTAACCACGGATTCCCTCAACCAATTTTCCATACAAAACATCCCTTGCTACGCTTTGGAACCTATGGTTAAATAAAATTCACTTAACATTTATGTAAAGTAAATAATTATTAAAACCTTTGTTCTTGTGTGGTAGATTCTAGACTTGAAGTAGGCTGGATAGAAGGGGGCGGAGTTGTTGTATCCACCACGCCTACTGCAGAGGGATCGTCACGGATCAAACTTTGGAAAAGTGCCTCAGCGTCAGGACCAGACAGAGTCATCAGACCAACTAAACAAAGAAAAAAGTAGGCCCAGCTAACATAAAGACCAATGGCGGTTATACCGCCTCGATATAGTGTACCCCCCGCCATCGCATTTACGACGGCGGAAAACCAACTCTGGCGAAGATGTCATGTTATCTGGGGGAACAATCAGCTTATAGGGAGTAGGGATTGTAATGAAGATTTAATCTTAAATCACCATGCATTTAAAGAATAATCAATGATTTTAACAGCTGATACCCCTTTAATCTCTAAATACTCCGATTTCATTTATTGTAGCTTATGATAAATTGTCACTTTAAAAACAGCACAATTGAAAATGATTATTTCCAAAGAAAAAAAGAATATATCACAGTATAAAGCACAGTTTTAGGACCGGGGTTCCTTTTTTTCCTGCTCATTCTGATATGACCTATTTTTGTAAACGCTAATATTTGACTACGCTTAAAACGTTTACCTTTGTTATTTTTTCAATTGAAAAAGTTTTTTATTTGCTTTATTCTGATTGTTTATACTTACCACTTTTCGTCGGCTCAGTTCTAGAACTTTTTTCTGGTTTAGAAAAAGGATTTCGTCTTGGTTTCTCACCAAGCTCCGCTGCATTTGCAGCAGATGTATCTTCGTTCGCTATCATAGATTTTTCGTCTTCAGCTGTATCAAACTTCTTTTTGTTGTCAAGAACGTTTACAAGATTCACCCTGGCAAATTCAAATTATAAATAATTTTACTCAAAATAATTTAGAATATTAATTTTAAATTTTTTTACTTTGGTCTGAATCTCTCGGCAAATGAAGTTTTACTCCTGGAGGGAAACCTGAAAAAAAAATCATGCAATGCAGAAGATGTAATTCTAATTGACTTTCAATTTATAGAGTGGGATATATCAATTCACAACGGTACCCTTAAAAACTTATTCTGATCGAGAAAGAGATATTACAAATTACTATTTATTAATAAATTTAAATCTTACAACTTTCATGTTTGTTTATCATGTTTTTGTTTTGCTTGTCTGTCTCAGTCTGTCATGGTGTCTGGTTGTTTGTTTGTTTGTATCCAATAAACGTCAAAACGGCTGAACCGACCAGACCCAAATTTTGTGAATGATCAAAATTTCAAAAATTTGCCTCCATTCAAATTCAATTTTCATTAAATTTTTTAAATTTTCGAAATCCACGAAATTTTTTGTTAAAACCCGCGAACTTTTTTGTTTTGTTTTACAATGTGCACAATTTACACAAAGAGAACGGGTTCACAATTTAAATAGAAGATGGGTGCGAAGCGCCGTAAAGGCCTAGCATATAAAAAGCTCCTCTCTTTCTGAAAAAGCCAAGAGAAGCTACGAGGTCAAAAAGTCGTACAAGATAATTTCAGGTAATGGAACTCACCACAATTTATAATTCTAATCCCTTTATCTTTGCTACCTGATGACGTAAAGCTTTGAAATTTTAAAGAAAGGCTACTTGAGAAAACAGAATTAATAGATTAAATAATTGTTATTTTGAATTTTTCCTAAAAGCTGCTCTGGAGTGACACAGCTGTAATTTTGCCATATAAGTATAATAGCTTTTTTCATGCTTTTTTAACCAAAATAAAGATAGAATTCTTACAGAGAGTTTTCAGGTCTACTTGGGGCTGCAGGTTCAGGGGCCAACGTTGTTATCTTAAAATAAGTATTATTAATTTGAGTTTTTAGACATTACATTTTAGCTTTCATTTTTATTTTTCATTTTAGCCTCTGTTTTTTTGTATTTTTAGATGTATTTAGATATTTCGTTTTTTTAACCTTTTCTTCCTCCACTTCCTCCTCCTCCTCCTCATCTTCGTAATCTTCGTAATCTTCATACTCATCCTCTGCATAAACATTGAATAAGGCTGGACGAGGTCTATTCGGTCGCCTTCGATTTGGACGGTTTCTTCCCCCAGGTCGTCGGCCAGGTCCTCTTCTTCCTGGTCTACCTAGACATAAAGGAATGATTTTTATCAGCGGATTAATTTAATTTAACAGCTGATTAATTTCATTCAACAGCTGATTAATTTCATTTAACAGCAAATTAATGATTGATTTCATTCATCAGCTGATTAATTTCATTTAACAGTTTTAAAAATTTTATTTCTTTCATTTCATAATTATCATATTCTTTTTAAAATATGGAAATAAGTAGATAGTAAGGGGATTACCTGGTCTTGCATTAGATGCTGGTCCCTCACGTGACCCTGAGTCTTCTTGAGATAAAGATTGTCCCTGGAGAACAGCATCTAGTTGGGCCCCTTCCTTTAAAACCCCGCTCATTTTCAGGAGAGTTAAAAATTTACTGAAATCCTAAAAAATAAGAGATATTTTTAAATGGATGATCTATAAGAGCGACGCAGAAATTCCTTGGTTGAAAAAAATAATTATTAAGGAAAAAATGTTTAAAAATTGTCTTGTCTAAAAAATGTTTAAAAATTGCCTTGTCTAAAAAATGTTTAAAAATTTTCTTGTCNACATCCTAATTATAATACGTACAGGCTCATGCTTAATCCTCACATCCTAATTATAATACGTACAGGCTCATGCTTAATCCTCACATCCTAATTATAATACAGGCTCATGCTTAATCAGACTTAAAAGGACTGTAAGCATAATTTTAAGCTACCCTCCATGTACAGATAGCAATGCACGATTTACAATTCACTACCACTGAAACCTTAAAGGGAGAGAACGGCTAGATATAAACATAGTAACATAGTAATAATTCTGCACTCTCGTTTCAAACGATGCCTAGCTGGTCTCTCCCTTTAATCTTATCCACAAAGGGAACTTAGCTTTTATAACTCTAAAATTGTTTATTTTTGTGAATTTCTCCGTTAATTCTTAAAAGCAATAAATGGGCAAGTCAAAATTTTGCAGAGAAACCGCAAATGAAAATAAACAGTTTAATTAAGCAAAAACATTGATATCTAATTTATACTTGATCAGACAAAGCTTTCAATTGGTATGAGAACCGTTGTAAATCGGGCATTGTCATCTTTGCATGAAGGGTCACATAACATAACGCTGAACGTTTATTTGAGGTGTATTTTCAAATAACCCTCACGTTAAAAAGTGGCGTGTCCGATTCACATCGCGGGAAGATATCGTTAGTTTTTGAGCTAAAAATGTCTTGTACTAGAAATGCGCAAGTTATGTACATTTGAAAGAAAAAATAGTTTTCAGTTTGGCAAATAACGATTACTCATAATTTGACAAAGCTTTAAAAGGTATCGTTGCAAAGGGGAAACGTCAAGTAGGGTTACTAAAATACGATAAAGCCTTTGTAAACAATTTCTAAACATGGTGTGCAGGGTGAAATAATCCCTTGTTTAAAACCTTTTAAAATTTTATTTAAAATTTTTTCATGATACGAAAATAGTTTTGCCTGTTTTGCAATTAGCATTTAATTTTTCTAAACGTTGACTACCATAGGCGGTTTCAAGGGGGGGGTGGCAGTCCATTACCCCCCCCTGAGTGAAATTAGGGGGGGGTGTACCCCCCCCTGGATTTTTACAAATCAATACCCTGTAATTCAAGGTAAAATAAACTGTAATTTTAGTAAGGTTATGGGGGTAAATAGAACTTTTTAGCTTTACAGGGGGGGTTAATATAGGGGTCAATATAGGGGGGGGTAAAATCAATATAGGGGGGGGTAAAAAAAATTTTTCGCCCTTCGGGCGAAATATTTTTTTACCCCCCCCTGACTAAATTCCTGAAACCGCCCATGTTGACTACTATTTTATCTTTCTGCTACATGAAATAAATTATTGCAAATACCAAACATTTAAACAAGGGGGTGGGGGATATTTAAACAAGGGGGTGGGGGATATTTAAATTTTAAGCGAGGGAGGAAGGGGGTTACGGTCTGTTTGTATATTGCAAGGTATATTTATATCTTGCTTAATCCTAGCAAATATGTCCAGTTTGCATCAAAAATTACAAAATTATGTAACTATAATGTACAGTTTGAAGGATAAGGTTGAACAACTTCTTAAATTATGATAAAATAGTTGGTAATTAGTCCGTTCGTCCGACCGTCCGTATGGGAAAATGTAGGAAAAATAGTTTGATAATTGTTCCGTTAAACTTACTGTGCGCTAATTGAAAGAAAAAACGTTCTCCGTTTACAATAAAATAGTTTTTTAACGAAACCTTTCTGAATCATTTAGTTTATAAATTTTGTTTTCAAACAAAGGAGTAAATTAAGTCTTTACCACAAACTCTGATATTATTCCCAATGTCTTTTTCACCCAATGTCGTAGACCTCAAATATTTCAAACTCTGAATTCTGTTAGATCAACTAGTTTAAGTTTGAATTATCAAAGGCTTAAATCATCAGGTTGCAATGATGTAGGGAATATAAATTTAAGTTTTTGGCAAAGACTTATTTCTTTTATTTCAGAATTGAATAATTTCGTGGAAAATTAAAAAAATGAAAAAAGAATGTCAACAATTTTTGAATATAATTCTTTGCCCTTTTTTTTTACCACTTAATGCTTTATTTCATTTTAAAAAAATAACAAAGCTGAATTGTAAACAGAGTGCATGTATGTATAATGTATATTTATGCGTTGAATTTTAAATAGTTGAGTATAAGAGTACATATAAGGATAATAACGAAGCCTTTATGTACCTATAAACGGGTTAGCTTTAAGATTGCCTACCACCGAACCCCAGGCTAATTTTGTCTCCCGCCTTTAAAGGGCAACACTTGAAGCTACTATACTTGAGATTTTATCTAGTTAAACCTAGTTTCTGTTTTTTGTCCTTTTTGTGCCTTGCAGAAATCGACTGCTCAAGGGGCGACGATTCATATTTTCTGGAAAATTAGTTTCAAGACTGGGCTGTCATTGCAATGTTGGGACACATTTTTCCTATTCTTGATTTTAATTTATAATCTTCTTAACACCGCTTCGACAAAACTAACCAAGTTTGGTCTAACCATAGATTAATGTCTAACCATAGATTAATAACAATACAAATAGAACATTAGTTGTCGTCTTTTCCATATTTAAGGGTTTTTCGTACACAATAACCCTCAGGCAAAAGTCCAAAGGAGTTCCGTGCAGGTAGTTTTGAATTACAATAAAGAGCATGCGCGTAACTCATTTGAGCTTCTGCCTTAGGGTTATTGTGAACGAAAGCCCCTAAATCTTAAAAAGGCGACATCAAGTGTTCTATCTGTATTGTTATTAATGTATGGGTCTAACTTTGAATTTTAGCGTTGAGAACTTTGACATTGAGAAGTGAGCCTAAGTTTAAACCGCAGCGCCAGGACAGCAAAATAAGGAATATTAACAAAAGCCACTGACTTTTTCTCTATTTTTTTACATTGTCAGAGTAAAATAATAATGACTGAGAGAAATTTTCTTAATTTTTGATTTTTTGAATAAGAAATTATTTGTCTATTTGCAAAATATTAATGATGTCTAATTGCAGTTTCTCATTTTTTGTACTTTAGGCCAGTTTTTCCTCATTTCACAATTTCAAAGCTTTAAATGCGTATTAGAATTATGTTTTTTTATGAAAACTGCAAGTAAGCCATATTTGCTAGATTCCCTGTAGACTGACTAGGAAAAAATAGAGGATTTAAAGCGACAATCCGCGAATCTGACATAATTCAAATAATAATTAAAGATATAAAGTCTTTGTCACGAACTTTAACTTTTAAATCCCAAAAATATTGTCAACATCATAGCGAAAACCTTTGATATTTCATCTTTTATTTGATAAAAAAAATCATAGCTTGAAATATCAAAGTTAACTGCTCGCTGCCATATCGGGGGGCAAAGATTAAAATATCTGAGTTAGTTGCAAAAATTCAGTTTCATTCAGGCGACATTCGTTACTACAACGCTGACTAGTTATTAAGAAATTTTTAGACGAAAAAAAAAAAAAAAAAACAATCTCAAACCAAGTTTCCATATTTGCGAACACTCCCTTTAACTGAGTTGAGATGAAGAAAATGATGTTTATAAAGAATGAATATTGAAAGTCAGCTCTTCACAACTGTTGGAAAATCCAAAAAAAAGATGAAAACTGAAAACACGGTGATTTCTCAATTCTGAATTTATTCTGCAAGCTGTTTAAAATTAATATTCAGAATGATGATTTAGTTTTGAGAATATAAAAATATTAATCAGAGTTCTGCGGTTTCTTGTTAACACATGTTTATTTCATTATAAAGCAATAATAAATCTAATATTTCTGATCAGAATAAAATTATCAGTCAAATCAAATTTAACAAAATCTTTATTAGGATGAAAAATTTATAAAAATTTGCAATTATTTGAGAAGTTTTTACAGATCGTCAATTATAATTGTTTTCTTTTATTGTAATCATAATTGATAATAATATAATAATTTCTGTTCATTAATAATTGTAGCGTTCGGAATTTTTGTTAAAAGGAAATTTATTTTTCTAACATGTTTTTTTTTATCTACAAGTTCGCCAAATTTAAATTTAGTTTGTTAGTTTTCAAACATTTTAACAATAATCAGCTGATCTGACCATAACTTAGCTGATCTGTCAAATAATTAGTTGATCTGACTAATAACCAGCTGATCTCGTAAATAATCAGTTTCTCTTATCAAAAGTCAGCCGATTTAACCTATAATCGGCTGATCTAACCAATACACAGCTGTCTGACCATTAATCAGCTGATAAAGCCAATATTCAAATAATCTGATCATAATCGGCTGAACTGAACATTGATCAGCTGGTTTTTTTTTACTTAAATCTAATTTACCTGGAACATTTTGTGGTGAATCGCACTGCTGAGTTCCCGGGTTAAATACTCGACCCTTAGTGCATCCAGCTTCAGTTGCTGTTATTCCATCTAAACAATAGGACTGTTTACTAGATTCATACACTTTTTAACAATAAGACTGTTCACTAGATTCAACAATAGGACTGTTCACTAGATTCAAGCACATATTAACAATAGTACTTTTTACTAGATTCAATCACATATTAACAATAGGACTGTTCACTAGATTCAAGCACATATTAACAATAGGACTGTACACTAGATTCAAACACATATTAACAATAGGACTATTCACTAGATTAAAACACATATTAACAATAGGACTGTTCACTAGATTCAAGCACATATTAACAATAGGACTGTTCACTAGATTCAACAATAGGATTGTTTACTAGATTCAAGCACATATTAACAATAGGACTGTTCACTAGATTCAAACACATATTAACAATAGGACTGTTCACTAGATTCAACAATAGGACTGTTCACTAGATTCAAGCACATATTAACAATAGGACTGTTCACTTGATTCAAGCACATATTAACAATAGGACTGTTCACTAGATTCAAACACATATTAACAAAAGGACTGTTCACTAGATACAAACACATATTAACATAGGACTGTTCACTAGATTCAAGCACATATAAACAATAGGACCGTTCACTAGATTCAAGCACATATTAACAATAGGACTGTTCACTAGATTCAAACGCATATTAACAATAGGACTGTTCACTAGAATCAAGGACATATTAACAATAGGACTGTTCACTAGATTCAAACACATATCAAAAATAGGACTGTTTACTAGATTCAAGCACATATTAACAATAGGACTGTTCACTAGATTCAAACACATATTAAAAATAGGACCGTTCACTAGATTTAAGCACATTTTAACAATAGGACTGTTCACTAGATTCAAGCACATATTAACAATAGGACCGTTCACTAGATTTAAGCACATTTTAACAATAGGACTGTTCACTAGATACATGCACATTTTAACAATAGGACTGTTCACTAGATCTAAACACATATTAACAATAGGACTGTTCACTAGATTCAAACACATATTAACAATAGGACTGTTCACTAGATTCAAGCACATCTTAATAATAGGACCGTTCACTAGATTCAAGCACATTTTAACAATAGGACTGTTCACTAGATACATGCACATTTTAACAATAGGACTGTTCACTAGATACATGCACATTTTAACAATAGGACTGTTCACTAGATACTAACACATATAAACAATAGGACTTTTTACTAGATTCAAAAACATCTTAACAATAGGACTGTTCACTAGATACAAGCACATTTTAACAATAGGACTGTTCACTAGATTCAAACAAATATTGACAATAGGACTGTTCACTAGATACTAACACATATAAAAAATAGGACTGTTCACTAGATTCAAGCACATATTAACAATAGGACTTTTCACTAGATTCAAATACATATTAACAATAGGACTGTTTACTAGATTCAAGCACATGTTAACAATAGGACTGTTCACTAGATTCAAGCATATCTTAACAATAGGACTATTCACTAGATTCAAGCACATTTTAACAATAGGACTATTCACTAGATTCAAACACATATTAACAATAGAATTGTTTACTAGATTCAAGCACATATTAACAATAGGACTGTTCACTAGATTCAAACACATCTTAACAATAGGACTGTTCACTAGATTCAAGCACATTTTACAATAGGACTGTTCACTAGATACTAACACATATAAACAATAGGACTGTTCACTAGATTCAAGCACATATTAACAATAGGACTGTTCACTAGATTCAAACACATATTAACAATAGGATTGTTTACTAGATTCAAGCACATATTAACAATAGGACTGTTCACTAGATTCAAGCACATTTTAACAATAGGACTGTTTACTAGATCTAAACACATCGTTTTATGTCAAATGCAACAATTAAAAGGACTGTCCTTGTAATTTCAAGGTACATTCCAATTAAAAGATATATTCACAACATTACTCTTTAACCCTATTCCTGCTGAGGGGGGGGGTCAATTTGACCCCCCCTGTAGTTTTTTTTACATAACTCAAAAAGTATTGGTCCGAGGCTGTTGAAATTTTCTGACTTTTCCTACACGCTCAAAGTCCTTACTTTAGGCCTAAAACTGGGCTTTAATACTAACTGCCTGAGTCCTCAGGCACACTGCGTGTATGACTACTTTTTCCTGTAACAAACTTAATCTTTGTTTTGACCCACTTCCACTTGTCAGATTTTGATAAAATTTAGCTTTTTGGAAAGCCTTTGACATAAGGAAACGAATCGCACAAGTTTTGCAAAAAAATTGCAAATTCTTTTGCAAACAACCTGTCAAAGGAAATTTGCACATTTTTAGTTTTTCTTGGTTAAAAATCAGGATATTTAAAATTTTGCAAAAAGTTTTGCATATTAGAAATGGCATGGTCAAGGGCTTTTCAAAAATGTATAATTTTTCATTTTTTGGAAAAAAAATTTTTTGCAAACATTTTTACTATATAACTGGATTTTACGATAAAAAATTCAATTTTTGCAAATTTGCAAATTTGTTTGCAGATTCTAAAAGTAGAGAACAAGAGCTTTCCAAAGATGTATCATTTGTCATATTTGGACATCAAACATGGGATTTAGAGGGGGGGGGGTCAAATGGACCCCCCAGCATATCCTGGTTTTCAAGTACCCCAGGAAAGATAGGGTTAAAAGTCTGAGTTTCGTAGTTTTGCTTCCTCGAAAAGTGTTAAATTCGCACAATTTCCATTTGTCTCTGCAGTATAAAGCTGCAAGTCACACAATTGAACATGATTAGTTTTCCGAGAGAAAAATAAGAATATATCAATTATTCTTGATCCGACAAAGGATTAATTGTACTGTAGTTTGATTTCATGCCTGCAGTTCCTGTGTGAGAAATTGATCCTATTTAAAGGTGGTGAAAAATAATAATAAATGTTAATTAAGGCCCCCTGTACACTGTACAGGGTTAACCACAAAGGATGAGACTTCAGAGACGATTATACAGAATTTATACTGTCTCGTTTCTTATATTTATAATATGTTTCCTTGCCAAATCATTTTATAAGCCATTAAAAGGGTTTATTCAAGGCAATCTTATCCGTTGTTGGTAACCATGTATGATCAAGTATTACCTAAGCATATATAATATTGTCTGCATGAGGTAGGATGAGGAAGAGCAGGATGTACTCCGAGAGCTCCTCCAGGGCACGTAAATCCATTTTCTAAACTCTAAACAAACAAAAATTCAAATTTTTTTCTTTCTTCACATTTTAAATTTTCATAAATTATAGAAAATCAGGGTACTGTAAAAGTGGCATACAACATCCATATTTAATAAATCAGTTTTCAAACCTTTCTCTTCCATATGTATTTAGAGGTTCGCTGATTTATAATTTTGAAATTATTTTTTTTCAAAATTGGAACTCTAAAACCGTTTTTTTTAAATAAAAAAGATAGAAAGATAGTGAATCAAGACAACTTCAACTTCAAATGGTTTATGTTGTACTCTGATGCAAAATTTAAGAAAAAGATAAAGGTTTTGAAAGGGGTTCATGAAGACTTATAAAATTCGAAATAAAATATATTTAACGGTTTTTTTTGGTTTTCAGTTCTGGTATAAGAGTACAGTATAAGATGTTTTGCATTTATTTTTTTAAGAGTATAAGTCCTTTTTGCACACGGGATTTCAAACATTTTTCAACATTTCTTTTGTATTACATATAGGCCGAGTGATGCGGCTAGGAAAGGCTAGGGGGCCAAGCATCGTGGCTAGGAAAAAGCCTTTACATAGGGAAATTACCCTACTTTATCCTTTAAATAAACTCTAATAATTTCAATTTGAAAAGTTTAAAAATGTTTTTAAACTTAGTTAAGCAATTTGGTAACCTTTGGTTTCTGAGTTGTTGGTGTATCATCAGCTGGTTTCTTGTCGGTCATCTTCTTCTGAGATCTATTTTGCTCAGACACACAACCAGCTCTCCCTGGCAGACACAGGAGGTTAGATAGGCAAGGATCGACAAGAATAGACAAAGATGACAAGGATTGAAAGGATAGACAAGGATAGACAAGGTTAGACAAGGATATACAAAAATAGACAAGGATAGACAAGGATAGACAAGGATAGACAAGGATAGATAAGGATAGACAAGGATAGACAAGGATAGACAAGGATAGACAAGGATAGACAAGGATAGACACGGATAGACAAGGATACCCAAGGATAGACAATATTAGACAAGGATAGCCAAATAAAGACAAGGATAAACAATGATAGACAATGATAGACAAGATTAGACAAGGATATACAAGGATACACAAGGATAGACAAGGATAGACAAGGATAGACAAGATTAGACAAGGATATACAAGGATAGACAAGGATAGACAAGGAAAGACAAGCATAGAAAAGTCTCTACCTGACTCCCTGGCCCAGACACAGGTTCCAATGTCCTCAGAGAAATGAAGTCCCTCGGCACATCTCAACAAAAATAAAATAATTAGATTTAAAAACTTCTCACATTTTCTCTCTTTGAAGCAGACTCTCTTGAGATAAAATGTGTAAACTATTGGTCTAAGTAAGTCATCTAGAACGGTATTAGGTACTTTCCCAAAGGCTTTTTCCCGAAGGTGACTTCCCAAGTGACTATTACTCAATTGGCAACTCCCCAAATTTGCAATTTAACAAGCTGTAACATCCCAAAGGTTTAGATAGGACTTCTAAGGCGCCACAGGCTGCAATGGGTCCGAACGCTGCGGCTAGGATGGGCTATAAAGAGACGAGCGTTTCGGCTAGAACAGGTTAGGAGACTGAGTACTGTGACTAGGACAGACTTGGGAAGTTTCTGCATTGGAAATTGCTCATTTTGGATGTTGCCATTTCGAAAAAATATCCCTGGGAAGTTGCCGCTTGGAGAAAGCCTTTGGGAAAGTACATCCTTCCTTAAGGCTGGAGTAGATTAGAATAGATCAAATTCATAAGTTTTTAAATTTTTTCGCTGAACTAACCTGGTGGGACTTCCTACTCCATTAAGACAAGAATAGAAAACATCACATTCAAATGGATCTTCACTTGGGTATACACCATTCTGCCTCGGGCAATGACTGTCTCCTAAACAGTAAATAAAATTAGAAGACGGTGTAAAAGTTTCTTTGGTAAATCAAAGGACTCATTATTAATGTTTATTTTGTTTAATTTGATTAATTAAAGAATCCTTAATTGAATGGCCGTAAATTAAAACAATCTTGAACACAACAATTTTTTATTGATAAAAATAAAGCGACTTTTTGATTATTTACTTTAGAAGAGTAGTTTAAAATTGTAATAAACCAATTTTTATTCACCGATTGTTTAATTTTTAGATATTTTATTATTTTGATAAGTTATTTAAAGTAGATTTGCTTTAAATATTGAAGACAAACTTAATTACTTTCCAATCATGAAATGTTAAAAAAAAATTTTTAAATTTCTGATAAATTTTGAAATTTTTTTTTTAAATAAAGGCATTTTTTTAGAAATTTTTTATTACTATTGAATTTTGAAATAACTAAACCTGGTTTTGGTCTCTGAAGTTCTGGTCTTGTTTTACATTTATCAGGGGTATTATGTTTCAAATCACAGGGGTCCTCTCCTAAGCAAATTTATTCTCATTTTTTTTTGGGGGGGGGGGGAGGGAAAAATGGTACGCTGGTAGGCAATTATATAAATAAAATAAAGACGACTTTTTATTTAAGCTTTAATTGTTAACAAGCTTTTTTTCGAATTTCAAGTTTACAAGTAATTAAACAGAAGCTTTTATAATTTGAAAATATGAAACGGTTTGAAATGCCTAAAATGGTAGACTAAATTTTAGAAATGCTAGGACTAGAGGTTTACTATGAGGTTCCAAAAAACGTAGTATATAGTAAAATTAAGTTTACAAATATCTCGAGAAGTTCGACATATTATTCTCTTTTTCGGGAAATGTTTATGTTTGAGAGTCTACACAGTTTAATTGCGTTCAAGACAAGTACACAGTACAAACGTACCTACTTGTCTGATTTAAATTGGGATTCACTGCAATATGATTTAAATATCTTCATTATATATTCTACCTTCTGGTTTTTCAGGATGAAATACAAGGCCATCTTGACATATAACCCTTAAAATAAAAAGATGGCTTATTATTTACAAATATATTATCATTTAAATTTTATATAGTTAAAAACATTATATATATATTCTAATCTAAATTTATAAGTACTGATGAGTATACTTTTCTTGTCCGTATAGGTTTGTAGATTTTTTAAAAGCTCAAAAAGAATCTGAGATTTTAAAACTAATTCAAAATTAAATGCTCGATAAGTTTGTTTTTAATACTTAATGGAAATTATTACTCGGATCAAAGATGTCAAACAAAAGATTTTTTTAAAACAATTGATAAAATTGTTTTGACAAATATTTTTTTAAAATTGTTTTGATTAATATATTTGCTTCAGATTTTTTTAAGCTTAATGTAATAAAAGCTAACTTATAGAAAATTGGAAGATGATTTGTGTTGAACATTTTTTTATCCCAAAAACCTTGAATGTGTAAAAAGAACCTTAAAACGATGCCCATGGCCCTATTTGAAGAAGAAAAAATTTAATATTATAAAAATTACCATTTAATTTTTTTCTCCCCTTACCTTTTTGACAATCCATTCCTACATTCAAAATATTTGTCGCATTGTGTAGGATCAGGAAACAGGTGGATTTTATCGGTCAACTTGGTGAAGGCAGGACATCTAAAATTAACAAAAATGAAAGGGACTGTCCACGTAATTTCTAGTATATACGATTACCCTTTAAACCTTCGTCTGAGCAAATATTATGTACATTATCTTTTGTTTTTCTAAATAAAAACAGATTATTTTTATTTCTGGATTTTACCGGATCTGTTCTAAAGGGACAAAATGCGAAAGCTGTATTGACTTTTTTTGTCTGGTTTAGCTTTCTTTTAACCGTTTTTAACCCTATCCCTGCTGGGGTAATTAAAAACCAGGAACGGGTTGTATGCTTATAGTTTGCAAAACTTTCTTTGTAAAAATTGTGCAATCCGTTTCCTTATGTCATAGGCTTTCCAAAAACTAAAAATTATCAAAAACTGACAGTAAAAGTTGGTCAAAACAAAGATTTAGTTTGTTAAAGGATAATGTAGTCATTCAGGCAGTGCGTGTGAGGACTCAGGTAGTTAGTATAAAAGCCCAGTTTTAGACCTAAAAGGATGGATATGGGTATTTAGGAAAAGTCAGAAAATTTCAACAACCTCACAGACCAATACTTTTTGAGTAATGTAAAAAAAACTAGAGGGGGGGGCAAATTGACCCCCCCCCCTTTAGTTATAAGGAATAGGGTTATAAGAATATATGGTTTCTATGAGGACAATGTATTTGTTAAACAATTAAAAATACATACATACTTGGGGTAGGAAGAAAAACATACATACTTTGGATAGGAAAAAGTGTGGCAATCTTTGTTTTATATTAATTCCCATTTTTGATATTTTGGTTAACCCTATCTCTGCTGGGGTACTTGAAAACCAGGATATGCTGGGGGGGGGGGGGTCAATTTGAACTTCCCCCTCTAAATCCCATGTTTGATGTCCAAATATGACAAATGATACATCATTGGAAAGCTCTTGTGGTCTACTTTTAGAATCTGCAAAAAAATTTGAAAATTTGCAAAAATTATATTTTTAATCGCAAAATCCAGATATAAAGTAAAAATGTTTGCAAAAAAAATTTGTCCAAAAAATGAAAAATTATACATTTTTTAAAAACCTTGAACATGCCATTTCAAATATGCAAACATTTTTACAAAATTTTAAATAACCTGATTTTTAATCAAGAAAAAATAAAAATATGCAAATTTCCTTTGACAGGTTGTTTGCAAAAAATTTGCAATTTTTCTCTCGCAAAACTTGTGCAATTCGTTTCCTTATGTCAAAGGCTTTCCAAAAAGCTAAATTTTATCAAAATCTAACAAATGGAAGTGGGTCAAAACAAAGATTTAGTTTGTTACAGGAAAAAGCAGTCATTCAGGCAGTGTGCCTGAGGACTCAGGCAGTTATTTAAAATTTTAGTTCCACAGAAAAATGATCATCCCTTTTTCAAAGGATGTATCATAGTTTAATATAATAGTAGATGCATTGCTAATTTGTGTATATATTTGTAAATTGTAATAATGTTCATAATAAAATACATTTTCACATATCATTATAAATTGTTGAAATAATAAGTTCAATAATATATATAAACATATATGATGAAAATCTCTTTTTTTATTAATAAAAATAAATTGATTATATATATATATATTATAAATGTATAATATATATGTACCTTTCTGTATCTACTTAATGTAGTATGTATGTAGTATAATGTGCTTATATACATCTTATCTAAACAAGACGTCTTACAAATCTTCAATACCATATTGGTAAAGAGGAGAAGAATAGACCCAATTTATCTTTTTGTAGAACACATGTCAAACTTTAAGAAATAATATTTATAATAATCTTTATGAACATTTGTATGTACATCTTCTGTACATTTCCTGGCTGTACAACAAAAAAGTCTATAAATCAAGAAAATTCTATTGATTAGTCGAGTTCTGGCTGTCCATTAATTTTGCTTTGACCGGGCCGACTTGGAAGCGTAACTCTGACCAAATTTGGTTTGTAAATGCCAAGTTTTTGTTTTACATTGGACATTGGTTTTGGACTTTTTGTTTACTTGAAACTACGTGTTTTTAATCTCACAATCCAAAAATTCACAATTTCGACTTTATTTTAAAGGAATTTAGTTTTTGCCACAAACTCTTATTTATTAATTCCTATATCTCTGCAACACTCAATTCCTTTGTTTTACGCAGTATTTATGAACTATTTCCCCCTCTCGCCCTTACTGTCTTAAAATGCTAATATTTTGTTTTTATTATTTTAATACGCTCAAATGTCAGATCAGTAACATTATGGACCGAACAAAAAACCAAAATATCATGATCTGTTAAAAGGCAACATACAGATCATACCCCACTCCACCCAAGTTCAATATCAATCTACCCCCCCCATCCTCCCTTTAGGCCAATCCCCCCCTGTATACAGGCCCAAGATGAACCTTCTTCTCCAGTAAACCATTGTAAACCTACAAAGGGCACGCGGAGTCCTGAACTTACAAATAGTTTTAATTCCATTTTTGCTTCCCTTTGTGCTTTGTTATATCAAGACAGATGTATTTTGTTGATTGTATATCGAACTTACCGAAATTACAACCATGCAGAATGTTCGAAAAAACAACCAGAATGTTCGAAATTACAACTAGAATGTTCGAAATTATAACCAGAATGTTCGAAATTGCAACCAGAATGTTCAAAATTACAACTAGAATGTTCGAAATTGTAACCAGAATGTTAGAAATTACAACCAGAATGTTCGAAATTACAACTAGAATGTTCGAAATTACAACTAGATTGTGCGATATTACAACTAGAAAGTTCGCAATTACAACCAATGCAAAGAAAATATCACAATTTGTGATATTTTCTTTGCATTCTGTTTTTATTTCCAACAAACTTTTCGTAATTTATAAATCCGATTTTACGAAAAGAATGTTTAGTTTTTCTTCAAGCAGTGTATGTTTGAATTTTTTGCGTCTTTATACCAAATTTACGAAGGTTTCATTCATTAGAATTTCCGAGTATATTTTGCACACGGCAGATAAACAGTAAACATTCTCACAACATTTCGCGCTAAGATTGCAACTATTTGCATAGAAAACGCATTCTCAAGTTTAATTGCGCTTTTTTCTTTAAAAACTCAGATTTAGTAATAATTACAGCCAAGTCAAATAGTGTTGCATTTTTTTAAATTCAATTACATTTATCTCTAAAACATACAGTATTTTTTGATTTTATACCTGATATAAGGCCTGGAAATAATAAAAGCATTCTTAAAAATTTGTAAATTTCTTTAAAGTGTATAACTCCAAAATGTTGAAAAGTAAAGAGCAGGAAAATTGTTGTTAGATACTTTGTTTAGTAATCCTTAATGTAGATTATATAAAGAAATGTTTTTTCAGACACAGTAACATGCTTTATAAGTTTTAAAAACATTTGCGTTCACAAGGAATAAAGAGAGTCTAAGAAATGTGAGTATTTTAAACACTATCGCAAAACTAACTAGTTCTGTTTAGGTTCAGACTGCATTGGAATAAATTATAAAGCTCAATAACAAACCTTTAAAGCAACAATTAAACCTCATCAAAGCGAAGAAATGGGCTCGAAAGTAATGGTAAACTGACTGATAAATCCGGAAGCTAAACACACTTTAAAATTGTATCATGGGAAATAGGAGACATTATATTGAGACACACTGTAGTATATAAAACGCTTCCTTTAAGTGAATATAATTAATCAGTGTTATGGTTATGTCTTTATAAAACCCAATTAACCTTGCTAACCTAGGTTATACACTACATGCTAAGTGCGCAGCTTGAAAATAAAAGCCCCTAAACAAATGATAAATACCGTGATAACCAAAATAAAGTGAAATATGAAGACGACCTGGTCAAAATGTAAATATTATTGTTTAAATGCAGGTTTTCAACCACTTAGAAACGATTTTTTTTTGTTGTTTTTAAGATATAAAAACTAATGGTTGCATGTAAAGCAAGATGAAATAAGTGAAACAATTTCTGGACAAAGAGGCGCGAAGAGATCTGAATGCCTTATCGATGTTTAGTTTTTTTTCTACGCTCTATTTTTGAAATGTATAACATTTAAAAGGTATTTACATACATCCGGGTAACCATTGAGCATCTTACGCAAACATGGGCGTGTCCTTTGTGTGACGTACTTTACACATTCAGCTCCCTGCAGTTGGGCGTTCACCGCTTTTATTCTTCAACAGTAGAACTAACCCAATTAATTAATTAATGAAGGATAGTATTCTAATTATGTTTAATCTGCAAAATCTTTAATTAATTAATAATTAAATTGGTGTGCAAAAATGTGAAGCTATGCTTGAACCACGGAAACGCCCAACAAGTTCAATACACATCTTATTTCTTTCTATTCCTACTTTGAAAAATTGAAAGATGTTTTAGATTATATTCAGAAGGGAAGTAATTTCAAGAAGTCCAATCTACTATATTACCCCCCCCCCCACTCCTGGCCTATGTTTCTATCCTCCTACTCTCTATTATAGTATCTATATGCCGGTGTTGCTTACAACAGTTTAAAAGGTCAACCCCTGACCTTGACTTCACTATTATTGTACACCGTGCAGTTTTCAGATTATCATTTCACCAAGAAATATTGAAATAAAAATATTCTTTAAGGAGTTGAGACTTTGCATTGCCACAAACTTAAATTTTATAATCCATTTAACTTTGCAATTTGATGGTGAACACCTTTTAAATTTCATACTTAAATTATTTCATCAAACATAGTTTGAAATCTCTGAGGTCTACGACATTGAGTTGCAAAGATATAAGGATTAGAAAATCAAAGTTTGTGGCATAGACTTAATTCCTTTCTTTAATATTAATTGTTGATTCAGTTTACAGCATATATGAGGATCTTGAAACCTTATTATTTTGAGCGTTAAAAGGAGTTGAGTCCTTCCCACAAATTCTCATTTTGTAAACCCTATATCTTTTGAACCCCATGTCGTAAACCTTTGATATTTTAAATTTATATTATTTTATCTAACAGAAGTCATAGTTTGAAATGTCAAATGTCTACA